ACGTAACGCGAGTACCCAATTACATAAACGAGTAAAGATGTGAACGGTGTTCCATTGTGGATCCCAGGCATGAGAAAATCGGCAAAAAGTAATTCATCGACGCGCGATAAACTTCTGTCGAGAGCCTTGCAAATTGTCTCCCTTCTCTATTTACTTAGATGATAATCTGTGCAATCAATATTCCCGCGACGTTGTAGCGTGACACCTTGATCTAAAAGTTGATAATCAAGCTTGAGTCGAATTTACTCTGAGAAAGTATGTCCTAGTCGCTCGTGCCGGCGACTCCATCTGAACTAGCAAAGTTTGCGAGCAAAAATTTCCGTTTTCAGACGTTTGCCCTCGCGCTTCATGTTTGGAGATTTGAAAAGATGTTCACCAATATTACGACTCGTAAATTCCTGCAGTTGATTACTGCAGGAATTTATTACTGCATTGCGTCCTTATGAACGCTGATTTATTCTGGAGTACTACGAGAGAGCGCGTCTCCTTATTCCGACTATTTTAAAACTTTGCTTTGGCGCTAAGCCGGATGAGAAGAGGTTACACCGCTTACAATTCCTACAAAACATCTTCAATAATGAAATAGACCATCTGTACATCAATCATCACGGCGATAAAGTTTGTTCCAATGCCCTCTGCCTTAGCACTGGATTCATCAGCATTCCTCAAAATTATTGAGTCCATTTACTGTCCTGCATACTCTGTATGCTCGGAAGATACTATATTAGGCGGAAATGTGTACATTTGAACTGGGATCATAATATCAATGATTTGGTTCAGATGCAGATGGCTTTTCGACTAGCTTGAGCCTCGTCGGTTCTCCGATACTTACTTCTCGCTTGTACATCTCTCCACGACTTCGCTACTGCTTTTTCTTGTTATCCACAAACCAATTATGCTTCATCGCGTTATCGACAAATTGTTTGCAAGAGCATGCATATTTGACTTTGGTCTTATCTTCTCTTCCAAGTCCGGGCAGTTTCGCTCTAAATAGTCCTCTCTACAATAAAAACAACCTTCCTTTTTATTTTCTTGTTGATTTCTCGTCCGAATGACAATGTGCCTAAAAACCTTGGTTGGTTCCTTTTTTTACTCTCATTATAGTTTCTAAAAACTCGAGAGTTGCCTTTTCTGAAGACAGTTCATTCTAAGTCTTTGTTTCTTGCTTCTGCAGTGATCATCATTTCTCTCAGTAGCTCCGGTGTCTACTTCGTCACGTTTAAGTTGAACAAACTATTGCGCCGTAGCTCGTCATAACATGTTTGTGGTGGAAGACTCCGCAAAAAGCGATCAACCATCTTTAATCGTTGACTAGAGAGCCGGAATGCGCTAATTATGACCGAATCTCAAAATTATTGTGCAAATGGGTGCAAAAAGTTTCCTTTACGCGCAGTACGTCTAGTGTAGCTCGGCTTTAATCCATACGTTCAGTGCCAAAAAAATTATCTTGTTCTGCAGACTTTCTTCGAACGTGTTCGTCATAGCATGCTTGTACAAGAATCAATCGTCTCCATTCCATCCACCGGGAGTTCCCTTGGGGCCGATCATGAATCCATTTGGCCTTTCTGCGTCTTGTTCTGAACCTAAAAACGCCACCATGTATTGTCTTGCGTGCCGAGCAAATTTGCAGGACCGCGTAGGTTGTGAGTTTTCAGACTTATAACCCTAATCGTAACCGCACAGCAATACACAATCACACACACAACTTTTTGAGGGCTAATTTGAATACGAAAACGAGTAGCTTCTTGTCGAACTATACCAGAGTTTTGTCGTAATCGCTCTACATCCATCTTGTAGCTTCGCTTCTTTTTTCACGATTCTCGTATTGTAGCTTCGCTCCTTTTTCCATCCACTTCTTAACGTCTTCAGCCTTTATCATCTTAAACTTTAAACATCGGTTCTCAGGATAGAGATTTATGACGATGAAGAAATCCAACTTCAATGCTGTGGAAAAACAAGAGTACAACGAAGATTCACGGTTGACCGAAGATGAATAAGTTTACACCAATGGCGAGGGCAATTTACAAATTGTGATGAAGATTCTCGATCTCGATTTAGTACCTGCACGGAAGTGTCCAAGCAGGATTTTGTGGACGAAGTTTTCGAAGCTGATAGTTTTAGTAGCGGCGATGACGATAATCTTCGAAGTGAGCCTGGGACTGGTGATGATAACGAGAACTATCTTCAAGAGGATTAAGAAGATAAGGGTGAATATGTATCGGCGTAAAGACGATCATATTATCGTTAAACCAGACAAAGATCAGCCAAAAGAAACACATATTGGGACTGAAAGGGTTACATTGAGTGACACTATTGTACCAAGTAACACCGATCATGATTATGACTATCTTTTTGACCCGCGGGATGCACGTGAAATTTTAGATAATCAGGTGGCTTAGAGACAGTTGAAAATTCCATAAAACCAGATGATTGGTCATGTGCATCCTAGAGATATGAACGTTCGTCGTTCTCGTGAAAGAAAAGCGTGTGAAGATAGACGTGAAGAGACTCAAGGCATCTCGCTTGCATCGTCATAAGGATGGGAGTGAGGGGATTGAAGACTTCAAGATCTATTCTGTCTTTAGCACGAAGCACGAAACCACATTGATAAGCAAAGATAGCGAGAAAGGGATATTAAATATTACCAAGAACTACCGTCAAGCGATCCGTTCCAAGCAAGCAAAAGAATAGCGAAATTTCATAGATTCTGAGATTTTTGCTCTGTAAGACAAGGAAGTGCTACGAGATATCGCACGATCAAGTACCTCAAGTGGACAGAAAACTATAAAATTAATGTGGGTCTACTGCAATAGCGTTTGGTATGTTTTATGCCAACAATGTATCAATTATTAGACAACAAAAATGCCATACTTCGATGGTAACTGATTTGTAATCATTGCTAAAAAAGATCATCATTTTATCCTACGTCTTTATTTTGAAGAAGTACAACCAGCAGCCTTTATTTATTCGAGACTTAACCAACTGGTGGAGTCCTGATTACAGTGGCTCGTGTACTATGCCTTAGGTAAATTGCTCCTCATCGCAATGTCAACTCCTCCATTGCATATTCTGTCTTCAAGGAATCGACCGTTATTATCGAAAATTTCATTTTTTACCTTCATCGTGATTATAGCATGCTCGCTCGAGTAATCGTGTCTGGTTTTGCGTTTTGGAGCTGATTCAGAACGTCCTATTGATTCTAGTAGCCTTCTTTTCCATTACGTGAAGCAAAAGTCCCTCGCAATATTACTATAGTGCGAATCGAGTTTTTTTTCCTATCAGAGTACTCGCAAAAACCTTTGCATGAACGTGATGACGCACCGCATAATTCCATACTCAATGATAAGCATGGTGATGTGACGGGAATATTAGCCACCAACAGTACTTACCATCAAATTTGAATGTTTGCACAAAGACAAACTAAAATATATAAACCAAGTATAACATTAAGTACCATTGCCTTTTCACTCAAAATAAAAAGACTTTTAAAAGAGTTGCACGATACTTTCTCCTTAATATCCATTTGCCGACCCTAGCAATAGGTAAAATAATTTAGAATGCCACATGGTCCATTTCTTTCTCTCGGCCAACCAGACAAATTGATCAAGTTATGAATACTTAACGATGTTCTGACCATAAATTGTCGTAAGTCCGCTCCCGCCTGCGGCGAATATAATATGTCTTGACGAACTTAGGCGCCTTCTGTTTACCCAATAGCAACTTTTATAAAAATTGTGGCGATTAGCTCATATCTTGACTCGAGCCAGTATGGCTTGCATCTTCGCTACTTTCTTTGAGATGCCTGTCATTGCTATTTATACATCGAGGAAATTAAGTATGAGCAATTGTTGCAAATCTGAAAATTGTTGAAACAAATTGATTAAGATAAATAGCATGACATTTGTTTAATAAAATGGTGAAATTTTTGTTGAATGTGTATATGTGTAGAATATTTCTTAACTTGGTTATGAGGACACATTTATGAAAAAATTAATGTTCGGGTATGTTTGATGTGCAAGGATATCAAAACAGACTTTTCAGTGACATTACGCCTACGAGCTATACAAATTATAAAGGAACAAGCACGACGACTTCGAGAAATTGAAAAGTGATACGATTAAAGGACACGGCTTTTTACAAGAAACCTGAGCAAATGAACCTGATACACAACGACTTTGATCAATGCAATAGAGGTGATTAAATGAAAGATGATTCTATATTAATGATATGTATACATAAAGCACCTAGCCGTTCCAAAAACTCTTTTACAAAATTCGGTGTTGCGGCAGCACTAGCCACGTGTGTTTATAGAGTGATGTTCTCACAAGCCTGAATAAGTCTACTGAGAAATTTACTGTGCAGACCGGGGAAAGACAAATGACAAAATAAGTGAGATAGTATAGTTCTTCGCTGCAATGCTTTTATGGAGGAGCAGCTGAAAGATGTTGAGTATTCGCGTCGCCGTTCAAGATTCTTTTGAGTTATGGCAGAGTGGAACATAATCAGTAAGTACTATTTATCTATTCTCTAGACATAACTAGGAAATATTGTAGTTGGTCCGTGGACCTTAGACTTTAAGTTTGTTAAGATACGCGATCACTACGGGATGGAAGCAGCTGGCCTGTCTTTTGTTTAAGCATATTAACCTTGCCATATAATATTCAATTTCAGAACTACTCCTTTAATGCAATGACACAAGCGCTTGGGGCACGTTAGCGTGTCTTCTTTTATGCGAATACGTGACAGAAACTCAGTTGCTGGTGTAAGCATCCCTCCTGTATTTTTCAAAGACAAATTCACGTGTTTAAAATTTTAGGGAATTGCTAAATTCACACCCCTTTTCCTTAGATTCACACACTTCCTTTTAAATCTTTTATAAACAAGGTACGCAATCGCTGTTGGACAAAGACTAGTGCTTTCTCTGCCACTTGGCTACGGGCGACCTGTTGCGCGCTGCTGTAGCTGCTGGCACATACAGAGGCAAAAAGGTCAAAGCTGTGATGGAGTCGGACGCACTTGTGACCGACGCGATTGTCGTCGGTATCATTAAGGACGTCATCAAGAGTTCGGAATGCCGTCATGGCTTTATTCTTGGCGACTTTCCACAGGCGGTCGTGCAGGACAAAAAGGTGAGAACAAGAGGAGATACAGACGAGTGTCCAGGTTGCAACGCAGCGGCTGACCGTAGTTCCCTCTTTTTGTATGTGGTGCTGTGCAGCTTGACGAGATGTTGACGAAGGAAAACACCTTGGTGGATGCTGTGGTGATTATTAACGTGCCGGAAAAAAGTGCTAATTGAACGCATTGCAGGTCAACGCATGCACTTGGCTAGTAGCCACAAATCATCAGAAAGAGCTTGTATCGTGGTCCTTCCTTCAAATTGTCCTTTCGAAGTTTCGTACGCTCATCGTACATTGAAGAGAGGTTTGCTACGGCACCATTTTTCTACATAACAAAGGATGAAAGAATTTCTAAGGGTTTAACACCAGCCAGTGTCATATTTCTGACAGTATCGGCCTGCTCGCTATTTAGCTTTCTATGAGTCGAATGACCAGACCGATGGAGTGACGGCTCGTAATTGTGGCATCCATTCATCACGTTTAACTTCCAATTACCCCTTTTTCGGAGAAATTTTCTCTTTAAAGGAACGGGCAATCAATTCGGCGTGAGCTGGTCTGGCGTTGGCGCTCTTTTCCAACCTTCGGTACGTTTACGGCACCTCGATCACATTTAAGGTAGACACGCTTTCCTGCAATCGAACTTTTAACCGTAACAGCATAGCCTTGGCCACGTGCGAACGTCTGCACAGTATCCATAAGTTGCCCCCGACTGGCATACTCAACCTCGGGAGGAGGAAGCATGCATATGTGTGGCGCCCTATCAGTAAAAGCTGGAGGAGCTAGACCACAGGCTTGAGTAGTATCTTAGGTGCTTTTTACGTATTACTTGCCAATTAATGGCCTCGATTATCGAGCAATACCTATGTCGGAAAAAATCTTAAAATGAATAGTGATTAAGATATCAGATTATGAAGTAAGGGTGTGAATAGAAGACAAGGGGTGTGGATTTAGCAATTCCCTAATAAAATTTACGCAAATAGTATCCCTAGCTATATTTGTGGTTATCACTGTAGTACTGTGCAATGCGCTGGCGGAGGTAACACGATAATACCAGTATTTAGAGTTAGTAATCCTGATGAGTGATCCGGCTTTCGAGCAATGCACCACATTCAATATTATTTAAAGTAATAGTGAAGTAACACAATTTGTTGATCCAGTAATTAGTGTTACAATTTTCTGTGACTCTTTAGAACATTCTCTGCTTGCTCTCTAATCAAGTAGCTAACTACAACAGTCTCACCAAGAAATGACCTTGGTAATAACTCACAATTCGCTGCAGCTTCTGCTCAAAAGGTGAACACACCAAGCTCCATAGACAAAATTATTTGTGATCTTCAATATCACCCTATAATCGTATGTAATATTAGTTTATTTCAATCACAGTGCATCCACGTACCGAACCAAATCTGCATCCATCTGAAGAATGAACGGTTTTTTTTCTGGAGGGCAATAGACCAGGAATCATCACTGCGCACTTTGTTTTGCGAATCTGTATCACTAATAACGTACATCTTCTTTGCTTAACATCGCTTCTTCCAAGCATTTTCATTTTGTACATGATTAATATTCACAGTGTTGCACCAGATAAGCTGCGCTTGCTGGGACAAATCTTTACTCGATGTTCAGCTCTTGTAGCGTAGATTCCACCTCCTATTTTTAACCGTTTCCACTGTAGTTGTCAACCCGCAGGACTATTTTCCTCTTCCCTTGCTTCATTTTGTTCATGCCCTTTTAATCGAGTCGTTGTGCGAAGACCGATGAGGTCATAAACTATTTTTTGCGGTACAATAATACACGCTTATAGTTTTCCAGAACCAACGGAATGTCAGGTCCGAATTAATAAAAGTAAAAACTCGAAAGCTAGATCAAACCAGGAGAGTTCTGGAACGCCAAGGATCATACACGTGAGTCAATATTCGAAGAATCATCCTGGGCACCCTGATTTTGGCTAATCTCCCTCTGTTGGCTTGCACGATCATAATCATTACAGTCGTCCCTGAGTCGACATCTGCATACTGGATCTTTTCCGTCCTCTAGCACTCAGAGTCCAACCATTCTACATATCGATAAAAAGTGCGCTTCGTCCGTGTTACCAATATGTGTCTCGGAGAACTCGCAAGACACGTACCCTCAGTGTAGAGCGCCAGGACGAAACATTTCCTCCATTCTGATTAAGAGAGGCCTGCGCGGCTGAGCTGCTTCTTGTCGTCGCTGTAAATGTTTAAGGGAAACTGGTATGTCTGGACCCAGAGGTGTTAAGACATTTGTTTAGTTCTTATTGCGCCCCCACAGGCACAAACTATTGTGCATGCACTGGTTGCTTGGAGACGAACGGGGAACACTTGGCGACGGTGAATACTAGCAAAGGTGACACCTTAAGGCCGGCTTTCTTCAGACGTTATGCTCATAATTCCGATCGCGCTGCAGCCAACCAGTGTATTCGGTACGCTTGTGACTACGACCAGGAAAGTATTCAGAAGCACTTTTTTCTGATGCCTGATTGTACCGCCTGCATAAAGTGGTGATGCGTGGATCTTTCGCATGCGGCGGCAAACGCGTGACGATTTTTCATTACCGCGACACTTTTGTAAACATTACAGACAAAGAAGCGGCCTTAAAAAAACGCTTGGTAAATCAATGAAGAACTCTAAGGAATAAATAGCGCGTGTATTTTGTATTCGCTGCTATCATCCATTTTACGACCTTTGCTTCTTTTGCATAGGAAATACGTGCTATACTTGTTGCCTATGCTTCATCCACCCGCTCGTGACTCTCGATCGCTTGTGTCTCTATCTAAAAGTGGCGTAGTTGCGCGGATGAGAGGAGAATAGAATCTTGGAGTGGAGCACGTCAGTGAGAGTAGAGGTGATTCGCGCTGAGCAAACGCGCTCGCTCATTACATAGAGAGGGCGATGAGACCAGCTGAGCAGTTCTATTTGGGATGCTAGTCGATGCAAATGGCGGTGTGGTGCTCGTTGGAAGATATAAAAAGCGTATTAGTCCCGTATTTCTACATGTCACACCAATTTTGCGGGCAGATAGTGTTAGTTATTGGCGGCAAAATGAAGACAAAAAGTTAGTGTTACTAATTTCAATTTAATTTTACACCAAATAACGACTAACACCAAATACTGTGATCAGGACAGTGTTGGTAAAGACTCTATTAGTAGTCGAAAGCAGGCGGACTGGTTTAAGGAGGGATCTCTGAAGCGCGTTCATAAAGCTGGACAAACAGTATTGCCAAATATCTGTTTTTAATTAGTGATCAACCATGGGTACATTATATTTACCGGTAGATGTATGTCAAGATAGCAAAAACAGTTCAGGAATCGATCCTTTTCTCCCTTTCTTTTCCCTTTGTGCCCCATATTATCCTCAGTTGAAGTTTCCGAATGAAATATCCGTTGTGATTTCATCCTTAACGATTCGTCACATCCAGGGTTTAAATTGGGCGCCAATACTTACAGTCACGCCCACGACACCCACGCCCATGTTTTTATGATCATGTGTGCGACTGACAATTTGTGGAAGGACACGACGTCTCAAGCTTGAATTGTAATAAAAAATACTCAGTACGTTTTCATATCCATCACACACAGCCCCTACGTATTATTAAGGATTGATCGATTTACACTTTCTAATTGGTAGGATTGAGATATTCGCCGTCGGAAATAAATCGCCATTTTCTACTCGACTATTTTACGCCTAGTGGTTAATAGGATTGAAAATATCACAGTCGGAAATGTCGTCCTACCTAAACTCACATCACACACCGCAATATCAGACACATAATCGCATTCATCCCCCAACGCGTCACTCTTTCCACCACATTCATTAGATCATCGTATCGCGGTAATATCTTACAATTAAAAAGATTTACAAAGTGTAACATTTGCTCATCGGCTCATATTCACCTTTGATCGATTTTAAGCCAATCATGTGCGTGCGTTACAATTGTTACCTAGCCGATAAGTGACTTTAACTATGCCGTTAAACCTATGGGAAGGGGGAAGACTTGATCGCACTCATATTGTTTAAGGTGTACGTAACCGCGTTATGTGTAACTATGGCGACCTCCTGCTCTTGAATGCTAAAAAAGCTAATACGTGTCGCTAGCAATGATAACCTTGTTGAAGCCACGATTTTTGCATCCATTACTACATCAGCGGACTCACAGCCGTTGTATGTCACTTGATTTCTGTCGAATATTTACCCACTTAATCGCTATTGTCACACGAACGCCGTTCAGTCACATACCAGAGATCCAACACAAAGTTTACTTTTCGTGACGAAAACAGATTAGCACAATGAGAGCGATCCACAAGTACGCCTGTCCATCTTTCACAACACATTCACATTCCATGACACGTGCACTGGATTCTTGCAATAATTACTTTATCGTCTCGCCTTCAACATGCTGGAATCTCAAGACAAAAGCCGTTACTTGATTAAACGCAAGAGATTCGCAATAGAACCCGGCAAGTGTACTTACTCATGTCGGGTTTTTTTCCACCATAGATTGTAGCCACTTCTTGCTGCTCGGGTTCTAGTGTGTGATTAGAAAAGCAGAGAAAAATACGTGAACACCCGTCGCCAGCTTAAGTGTATGCATAAACATATTTAGATCTACTATTTATCGTAGGAGCCGCTAAACAGCACTCACTTTTTGCTAACCACCACCTGGCCTGTCGATGTAAAACCCCTAGGATCGTTCTCGAGGCCTATGATTGACTGGAACCATTCAATATCATCACATTAACCTAATTTGCCGCCGCCAATTTTTGGCGTCAGTTCAGTTTCCATAGCACCTTAATCTTTTTGCATTGAATTACCTGAACAACTTAAAACTACTTAGGTAAATAGGAGAGTGTGTGTTTGCCACCCTAGACGAGGCTCGTGAGGTAGTAGACTCCCAACTACAAGACGAGTTCTTTTTGGCTATCAAGCATACAAGGCGGGGTGGGTAAAAAAAAAGGTGACACCAAAGCAGTGATTCTATCCTTTTTTTGGAAACACAACAGCCACGACCACCACCGCGGCCAGGCGAAGAAGCAGAACATCAAGAACGCAAACGCGTGCATGGCAGAGGGGAACAGGTTGTACCTTTTAGTGTGTCAAACGCCGTCAAAATAGCACATAGTGGGCGTTGTTTCTATGATGAGAAACACAATAGTGCACCCTTTGCCGCCCCGTCTGTCCACCCGCAAACGCGCTCTACCCCCGGCCCAACGCCGAGAGATTATTCGATTTGCTTCAGATGAGCTGTGACCGATGCGCGTAGTCAATACAATTTGCTGGCAAACTGTGAGTGTGACCCCTCGTGATGTGTACAACCTAGTTCAAGCAGAGCGCAACCGCAATTTTGCTGGCCTCTCTCCGCTTCAAACGCTGCTTGACAACCTTGATGGGAACGAGGTCGAGGCTCCTTATTTAACGTAGTTTAATGACCAATAAAGTCTCACGCACCTTTTCATTTTCTCGCCATCAGCAAAGGAAGTCTGCAGCATGTTTTCAGCGGGAAAAATATGGTTGATTGACTCAACTTACAAGACTCACCGTTTTGGGCTGCCATTGGTGCACGTTGTAGGCGTGACCGCCACAGCGCATACGCTCACGTTTGCATAAAGCTTTATGGCAGCAGAGACAGAAGAGGATTACCTGTGGGCAGTGCGGCTTGTGGCGCGCGCTTTGGGGCAATTCAATTCTCCTTTGTCACTGACCGGGGGTTGTCCTTAAACAAAACGCTTGACAACGTGATACCCAATGCTGACTTCCTACACTGCCGCTGGTATTTCGACAAGAACATAAATGCCAAGTATCGACTGTCATTTGACTCAATGGGGTCTTTCAGGAGCTACTGAAGAAGTGAAACGCTCTTGTGTTTTCCAACACAGTGGTATGTCGTGGACAGCAGATTAAAGCTACGCAAGATATGTTCCCACTTCATGTCATGGCCTATCTTGAGATAACATGGCTTTTCTATAAGAAAATATTTGAAGCTTTCTTTTTGCGAGGTTAGCCTAACTTTAGTCATACCACCACGTCAAGGGTAGAGAGCGCACACTCGGCATCGAAAAAGTGAATCTTGGTCTCTACAGGTGACCCCTTGAGGGTTAATTCAGCCTGCCGTCTTGCCTGTGATGGTCAATTTGCCACTATCAAACACCAATCTGCCATCGAAGAATCAATTTCAGACATGCAATTTAAGCCATTTTAGTGGAATTATGGGGAGATTTGAGTTGCAGAATTGAAGTCAGCCTTTCGTCACTTCAAATTGAAAATAGCCAGGACGCCTGCCAAGGTTTATTCTCATCCAACCTTGGGTAGCCTTCAAGCACCGGTTCCGTGCGAGGTCAGCTGCACAACTAGCAGCAATGCCAGTATCGAATTTGCAACGCTCCGCGCACCGCCCTGTCAGCCCCGCACCAGCTGCCAGGTTTAAAAGTACTCTTCGTACACCAACCTGCCTCACGCTTTTCAGCCTGAGCCCGGCCTCTTCAGTCCTCCATGCCCCATGCGCGGATAGGCGGACCCCGTCACGGGGGAACTGCCGCCGCATGACAGCGTACCGCCCGACCAAGAGGTCGGCGATCGTCGACCCCAGGAGCCGGAGTGCCACTCTCACATGGAAGGGTCGCTGCTCAGTAGGGGAGGGACGGATCAACGCGCTGTCCTTTCGGAGGGAGATACCGCAAGACCCTCGTCTGCCTCGTCTGCAACACTCGGCGACACAGCCGTTCCTGAGAGCGTCTCTACCGATTCGACACCTGCTCCCTGTCAACCGTCGCCTAAGGCTAAGCAGGTACTTAAAACGGAGCCGGTCCCTACCCAATTACCGCTAAATTCCAAGCCGGAAGCCAGTTCACCGCCTGTCCCAGGCGACCCGTCTCTTGACACTACGACGCGTGATGGATCTCCGGACGGATAGCTCTCAGTCGTCCGGCCGCAAGACACATACGCGGTGTTGTTAGAGGCTCGACAATTGGCGATAAATGATCCTCCACGTGACGAATGGCTTACGACGCTAGCCGAGCTACTCACGATAGTTCACGACTCCGTCAAAATTGATGAGGAGCTAGCCCCTCCGGGAAAGAAGCGTTTCCCAAGATTACGACGTGAAGAAAAATTCACTCTTTATAGTTCTTCGAGGTCGCGTGTGTGAGCTGTAATGCCACCTACGCGGCATGGGCAGCATAGGCCACAAAAGTGACCCAAACAATTTACAACACTAATTGGACCTTCCGAAATATTGTGCAGTGCTTGATCAGCAAGGTCAAATGGGCTAGGCTGAAGCTGATGAATCAGTGGGCAACGTCTCCCAAGACGGACCGTGCAGCCACGAAGGGAGGGGAACGCCTCCGAGGTCACCGTGACACTTACAAAGTCGTCATGTTTAATCCGGTGGTCTACAACTCGCAGGATGTTGGAACTTTACGGGCGCTGTGTCTGCAGCCAGCAACCTCCAAGAGCGGTGTCCAGCTTCGTGACGGCACACTAGATGAGTGGAGGATTATCAGCGGGCTAGCGGAGGGTAGCATTGTATGCAGGAGCCTGCCGGTGTTTCTAAGTAGCGTTCTGGATTCGAAGGAACGCGTACAACTTGCCGGACTATTCGGGCTCAGGTGGAGGGTGAAATCGTGTTGCTTCTGCGTAGCGGGACAAACATTCGTCTGTGTCAACAGACCACATGTGCTATCAAGGAAGACATATTGTTGTCTGCGGAACTATTGCGAGTGGACCCGGAAGTTCTTCGGCTTTTTTTAAAAAATATGTTGCTAAGACGATAAGCTACAACTCCGTTCAACGCTGCAATCACTTCTATTTTTTTGATTGTGTCACGGCACGGAATTTCGAGTTGGTATCCGTACCGTTTCGGAACAAGTTATACCGTGTGACCAACATATATCTTCCGTCCAAGGGGTCGGTTTGCACCCGTCAACTCAGCCGTGATGGAACGCGTCTGGCTACTGAGCAGGAATATGCAGTGGAGCTACATAACGTCACCCGCTTCACGGATATTGGCCGTCTGACTGCTTATTTCCAAGAGCATATTGCTGCAGACTTTGATGTGGAGGATATGGATACGTGTACACCCAATTCCCGAACTTCTACTGTGTGGCGATTGGTAGTCAAGATGGATGACTGTCCTGATTTTTTCGCAGAATTGTACGCCTTATTTGGTTTGGCGGACCTATCATCATTAAGCACCCAGATTTTGGGCGTCGTCTAGAATGTCTCTATTGTGGGGAATTTTGTCATACCATGGCGAAATGTTCGTATACGGCGGAACAACTGTCCGGACCCGGCAGCAGGGTTGCAACTGACCGCGAAATTCTGGTCTAGAGGATTTGGCCACACCATTCAGCAGTTTATATGAGCTTAAAGAGACGGCTGCGATCAGGTTGAAACTACAGCAGGACCAGGACGAAAGGAGGCAGGCGGCCGTAGAACCTACCTCGTCCGTGCCAGGTACACCCAACACATCCGAGACCACGATATTTAGCGCTGGCACTTCACAGAATACCTCGGATGTCCGTGGGACTGCACCAGTGCCCAAGATAAATGGGTGACAGTCCCTATCCGCAGGAGTGAAAAGCTCCAATCCCGTAGGAAGACACCTGCGACGCGTAATACAGTGGCATCATCGTTTTACGCAAGTCTCGGTGAGTGGCCTGAGGACACAGACGTTAATCTACCGGCCGGTACACCCACCTCACGTGTCGAGGACAGGGAAGACCTCACGGCAGAGACCTTCACCAAGCCGGTCGAGGTCCCCCAGACTTTGGCGGCCGAGAAAAAATTGTTGCATGTCCGTTCATCGAAACTACTTAGCCGGCGACCGACATATCAGCTTGTTACGCTCAAGCGGCGTGAACGAGCTACTTTACGCAAGGTATTGGCAGATGGTAGTTTTGGCGTGGGGCTCCTGCTACCGGTGGAGAGTTCTGTGGTACGCGATATCCACAATTTACCCGCTATTGAACGGGCCCTTGGTCTAAGATCAGTCATAACCCCCCGCTACAGGGAATTGTGTGGCGATGGCGATTGCGCAAGCGGTGGCGGACCATGATCTGGTTGCTCAAGACACTATTTTGGAGAACAGTACCGCTTGTATTAAGCGTGGCGTCTGTTGGAAGAGTTCAGTAAATTTTGACGAACAATTTACCCGCTCTGACCGCACGGGGACGTTGGTAAATGTGTCGCGGGGCTGGAAGAATGGACCCTAGGTGTTCCTCGAAAAAATTTCAGTGGTACCTACATGAACACTCTACGACACCATCAACCCGGCTAGCAATAATTAAGAAGCATAATTGGGGAAGTTGCGAAATTTTGTCGATAGCGGCAAACTTTCTGCAGCGTCGGATATTTGTACTCGCAAATACAACGGATGACCTCAATTCCTGGGCCTGCTCCCTGTATCGTCCTTGCACGATTACAAGGGGAACCAAAATTTTTGAGACCGGACGACACGTACCACTGGAGATTAGCCAGTGCGCGAACGTGATCGCAGTGGCTAAATCTACGGACAAGAACCTACCTCTTGTTTTGAAATTCTGGGGAGATCATTACTCGGCTTACGTTCATACAGGGTCTTTAAGTATTGATTCGTGCTCTCTTCTCGACAAGACTAAAAAGGACCCCACGGAGCCGCAACATTCGGGGGGGCAAGGACGTCGTTATGCAGACTACAGAGTACCCGCTTTCCACAAAGGTCACTATCGACCCATCGTCGATTGGTCATCCAAGCTCCAACGGGTCTCAACTGGCGTTGCTTCCCTCTACTTGAGACTCCTATGAGCAACCGATTGCATAAAAGAGGGCGCGCTCGACTACTCCTTCCGAAGGGGAACAAATTCGACAAATTACGCAGACTAAGCTAGCGGTAGATGGTCAAGATGGGGAGGCTGTTATGCTAGACTATCCACACTGCATCAGGTCAGCGGATCTTATGGCCCCTAGAGCGACCTGGCCGGATATATGTGGTAAACCTGGGGACGCCTGGCCAGTTTCGGCTATGGTCGCATTTCCCCACATGCACAGTAGCACAGACGAGTGGGTTAAGGTGTCGCAGCGGGAGCCGCGGGTGCTTCATTCCTTACTGCAATGCTTCCCCTATCCTGAGGAGATCCTCCAAGCTATCGACAACCAGGTTTTTGAGAGCTGGACAGCCGCCTGGAGACGTAGCTGTGTTTGAGCACGCTTGATTTCCTATCGCTTAAGGACGACACATCCTGCGACGCGCCAGTGGTTAGATGCATGGGGAGTCAAGTTCACAAGGCCAGCCCCATATAATTTGCCGGCTCTTACCGACAGCCGCGACGACTGGATACGCCTCCGCGCTAATGATTATGGCAACGACCCGATCTTGAAACTATGTGACGTGAACTAATAATTTCGCTTAGGCAAGCATATCATTTGCGCCGGACTGTACGAGAAAGAAATACGAGTTCGGATAACGGGGCTGTGCACCGTCTAGACCGTCACCTATAGGCTCTTGAAACAGTGGGGCGGTACCGTGAAGCGTACGCGACTAAATCTCACAATGTGGAGTGGTTTAAAGTCGCGAGCTTTCTGCCGGTGCTATAGAGCACGGAGCGGAGCAGAGCGTCCATCATTACTGAGGTCAGTCATGCCTTAGGAACCGGAGGTCTACTCCGAGGAAGCGGTCACGGTCCTACAAATGCTTACGGCCGTCACATCTATCTCCGGCGGACGAACCGTTCGGAGCAGTTAAACCGGTGCTCTCAACGGTTACAGGGAGCCAGACAAATTAAATCTCAGAACGCCAGGGGATTCCGAGACAAGACCCGAAATAGATGGCTTGCTGCATGGAGACGGACGCCGGTGGCGGACCGACCGCTGGCTTGGATGCTGCAGGAGACTCGTGTCTGCAATTAGAGAGAGGTCGACTACCTGAACTCTACCTGGGCCAGGTTATAGGGGCAACCTTCACGACCCGGTGACCCCGCGTTATCGCATTGGAGTATCAGTGAACGACGGGTGGCTGGTGTGGTAATTTTATTTCACCCTTCTACAGCCGAGTCAACAGCCACTTGGAACATTTCTTGCTGGTTAGATCGGGTCGTTGCAGCTGATTGTGTAGATTTTCGGTTGGTGGATGTTTACGTGCCTAACAAACAATCCGATCGCGTATGTTTTTTACTGAATTAAAGAGCTGGCCTTTGTCACAGCAAGCCACGATTCAAGCGGGAGATTTTAATTGTGTTCAGAGTCCGACTCTTGACAGGCTCGGTGGGATACGGGCGGGGCGTCCCGAAAGCGTAGCGCTTCAAACTCTTGTGGAGTCCACCCATCTTGTGGACGCTCGCATTCTCAGTGAAACGTCGCAGGCGATGGGGAGGAACATGACCCTCTCGATTTTTTCACATACTGGGGTCCGGATGTGGCGAGTCGGATCGATTTTTTTACGTGCCTCAAGACTAGTCGTCGGTGGTACAATTGGTTTCGGTCGACGAACCTCAAGTCCATTCGGACCATCAACGGGTGCGGCTGCACTTCGACGACCAGGCCGTTACTCACGTTGCCCGGCAGAAGCACCGTCCGGTAACTTACCCCATCCGGTCGGCGCAGCCAGTACGTGTTGTAGCTGATTTACTGACCATACTGATAGAAGAAGGGGTGAAGAACGGTGCGACGACTTCGACTTGGGACGAAACCGCTGGAGCGTGCCTTAAATGTATTAAGTGGCTCAACAAACGTGTACGCCAGAGGCGAAATTCAGTTGTGCGCCGGGTCCAGGCCCAAAGCCAAGCGTATCTTCTGATGCGCAAAGCGCTGATAGACGTCACGGTGGAGGAGGATCGGGAGGAGCTTTTGGTCCGGCTAGGCAACCATCTTGAGCGGACTATGAATTATTTCGGAGGAATTTGAAGCGTGTGTCTATATGTGAGAAGGACCAGACCAATACCACTATTCGTCACATCAACGGAGCAGCGTTTACACGCACGATGACGACTGCTGACCGTTTTGCTTCGGAATGGCAGCCTATACTGGGAGTCGTGCACCATCAACTACAGCGGCCGCAACTGGAGGCTGCTTTTGATGCATTTGTTCAGGTTCCTGCCATTCGCCGTGTCTCGGCAGTCGACAATGGCATGCTTGTGAAGGATATCAGCTCGACCGAAGTGATCACTGCCATTGAGGGCCTTATCCGGCACAAAGCAGCGGGGATGGATGGACTTAATAACGATTTTTTAGAGACACTCTGGAGGTCATGGCTTTTGCTATGATGGACATTGGTAACGAGCTACTTCGGGGCGGTCAACCTCCTCCATACTTTTTAAAAGGGCTCATTGTTCCTTTGCGCAAACAGGGCAACTCGCAGGATGTGATGGACTACAGGCCGATTAATCTCCTACAATCTGGGTACAAGATCTCAATTAAAGTCGTCGTCACACGCGTGCAACGCTTTTTGGGGAAGTCAATTGGTGATTCGCAGCAAGGCGTTGTGCAGGGGAGGCAGATGCAAAAGACTGCCATGATGATGATGGGCGTCCTCACTACAGCTTCGGCCAAGCCCGAGGTGCCTGTGATGAGTAGCGAAGCTTTTCTCTTGTTGGACTTCAGTAAGGCCTACGATACGGTTGCCCGAGATTTAATACTCGTGACACTTACGAGGTTTGGGTTCTCACCGGAATTTACTACAATGATCAGGAACGTTCATACTGGAACCACGGCCCAGTTCCTTGTGAGCGGGGAGCTTTCGAATCCTCAAGAGGTGATTTCTGGTATTCGCCAAGAATATCCACTTGCGCCTTTATTTTTATTATCGCGGCGGAAGTTCTCGCATAGGCGATTAATACTAATGAGCAGATCACCGGCATAGAGGTGCTTATCGGAGATGGTGCCAAACACAAAGTCTCTGCTTTCTTCGATGATGCAACTGTCTTCCTACATGAGGCAGATCAACTTCCGGCATTGCTACGTACGGATGGTGGAGCAATTTGGCAAGCTTTCGGGCTTGCAGGTGCAACCGCGCAATTTGCAAGATCACATTTCTTAATTTGGAGGTCCTTACGACGGAGTTCTACGGTATCCCGGTGCACCAGCACGGGGATACGACGCGTTACCTGGGCTACTATGTTGGAACTGGTGAGGTCACGGACACAAACTGGGCAGCGCGAATTTGTTGCGTGTAGCGTCGCCTGGCCACCGCGTCTCAGGCGTCGCCTGGCCACCGCTTCGGGTACTAATTTTGAACGTCATCATGTTACCGTCGATCTTGTTCACGGCGGCGGTGTTCGAGCTTCCACCCTGGGCACAACTCCAGCTCCGGAATCTCCAGAAGCAATTTCTGTGGATCGGCTCAACCAGTACTGACGCTTTTCGCCACAAGATTGCTCCAACGCTGCTGCATACACATCAACAAGCGGGTGGGGTCGGGCTGGCATCAATACTCACAGCGTGCAAGACACAGCGGGTAAAACAGGTCATCCTATGGCTTACACAACGCAAGGACATATATTTGAGGCTTGGCAGGCATGGATGTTCAGGGGCTCTACGAGGCCCTGGACAGAGGGCGTGTCGCCACTCACCGAACGAAAACGACATTCATCTCGATCCCGGCGAACACCCAGTACTTATGTGCAGCTGCTCCTCTGGCCGTGGCTGTCCCCTAGTCTTCCAGATCCAGTCCAACGACATCAGCGGTACAGGACTGAGTTGGAGAACCTAGCATCCACATCAATCAGTTGGACTACGCCGGAGGAATGTGTATTGGAGCTTCCACGGTCATTGCCTTACTGTTCCCGGGCCATGACACTGGAACAGGTATAGTTCTGGCCCACGCACTCATGGGCGGATAGTTCGTGAATTACGGACCACCAAAGCGATTCTTTTTCCGCTCGGAAGTATGCCAAAATTCTGCCATGCAGCATAGCGGGGCTGGAGGTGCAACGGACTGGGGTCCAGACATACTCTTTCATCATACCACCAGATGAACTGGGCATGCATCAACACGCCAAACTAAGGCGTTGGGCGATAGCGATACTGTTGAGTGCACCAGCTATGGAAATAGGGGACGGTCTGCAAGTGTGCCCGACCCTGCGCCAGAGGCACCCACCCGACCTCGTGAGGGCCTATGACTGGACGTTTCATTCGTCAGGTCGAATTCAGGGCGTCGTAGCCAATACGAGTATTGAACAGCTAAATGTCATTCTGCTAGAGCAGGAGAGCGATGGTCTCCATTGGGATATTGAAGAAGACAACATCGAGGATCGGCAGACAGCGACCGACTGCCAGGCGCCCTAACAGAGCGCGGCAGCGCGGGGCATTGTCTTTTATGCGCATCCGTTTCTACACGGTCTTCAATTTAGTGTTCAGTACTCAATCGCGATCAAACACGTCCTGAGGGCGTTAGAGAAACAGCCGTTTCGATGGTTAAAGGAGCAGGAAGTGCGTTAACGCAGACGGTGTTAAAACTCGAGCAAGCGGCACGCCGGAGTCCTTGGCAAGCCGGGGCATTAGCCCAGAAACCATACTCTCTCTGGGCACATGGCAAGGAACTTACGGAGTATCAGGTATGGGTCTGCTATCATGTGGGAGTGCGGCAACTGAACACTTATTTTCCTGGGAGGCAGCAGGACCCCAGCTGTCGCAAGCTGCAGTGCTGCCAGGGGGGAAAGAGACTCTTGAACACATCTTCCGGTCCTGCCCATGTGCGCAGGCATGTTGGCAAAAACTTATTTGCCATTGGACGGGACAACGTTGGGAGCTGGGCAATCTCGAGGGATTCCTCCCAGCAAGCGCCAGTAGGCATCCAACCGGAACTACCCTCGGGGGTCTTAGAACGGATCGGGCGAGACCACCCTGATGAGGTTCAAGCGTACGTAACAGTATGGATGCGATTGCGGTGCATACTGAGCAGCGTGTGCGTTACAAGCTTATGGACATAGCGCAATCGGGTGATTTTTCATCAGGCGGAAGTTACACTCCACGGTTGCGTCGAGGAATTTTGGCTAACAGGTATGCGGCAGCTCCGGGCAGTAGCAAAGCGGGAGTATCGGAGGGCCGACACGAAAATTCAAGGAGCGCGTTTGTTACGTTTGTTAGTATGTCAACGATATTTAGACAGACAACCAAGAGAGCAGTCACTTAGGGCGACTATCCCCGTACAACCACCGGACTCTTCGAAGAAACCGGCGTTGCTAACCAGGCTCAAGATATTCAGACATCCTGCAACCATTAATGGTAAAATAGACACGTCTGCATCTCTCAAACTAGCAGCAATACCACTCTCTGCTGAAGACTTTTATGTGCACTGGTGATTAATGCAGCCATGTCGTGCAGCACCAATAGCAGCAGAACTGGAAATTGGACTTCTGGGGCGGGTTTATGAGGAGCACAACGATGCATCTATCTACCGCCAAAGGTTGATACTGGATCACATTGCCACCTTGCCAACAGCCGATGTCTTTTACCCTGCTGTGCGGCGCGGCCGCGGCCGTCCTTCAGGTTCCATGGGAAGACCACGACGTGCCACTTCTACCTCTACACTGAGAAAATCCTTGCAGTTTGAGGTGGTTGAGGCCTCTGTGAGACACCAAAGAAATGCAAAAGGTGCTGTCAGTATGGTCACAATGCTCGACGTTGCCAGCAACCTCCCGCACCCCTCGCATCTCTCTGATACTGAAGAAGATAGATCGACATTAGCTCAAATCACATTTTGTAAAAAATGGCTTTGCTGGCAACGAATAAAAACAAAATGTTTTCTGGCGGCGGCAATTTGTTATATTGTGATAATATTGATAGGTCCCAGTCAATCACAGGCCTCGAAAATGAGCCTGTGGGTTCTGTATCGACAGGATGGGTGGTGATTAGCCAAAGGTGCGTGCTGGTTAGCGGCTCCTTTTATCGCTTGTAAATGGGATTGTAGATTACTTGTTAGAATGTTGATGTTCTCAATTCTACCAAGTAGAGGGCGTAGATCGAGTAAATTATGGTAATCTTGAGTCCGAAGGGTGAAGCTGTCAGTGAGTGTGCGCAAAATTGAACGCCGCACTTTTTAATCGTACTCATCTGTGTCTAAAGGCACAGACACAGATAAGTGCCTACCTGTGTATCCTAAAATAACGCGGTTACGTGCACCCTACACGTACTGAGTGCGATCAAGCCTGTCCCCTTCTCATAGGTTTATAGGCATAATCGAAGTCACTTATTGGCTAGGTCACTATTGTAATGCACGCACATGATTGGCTTAAAATCAATCAAAGGTGAATATGAGCCCATGAGCAAACGTTCGACGCTCGTGAGCAAAGACCGATCGCGTTGCATGAGTATACTTCTGTATTTATTTAGGCACTGACAGCATCACTCTCCTCCTTCAGTGGCTGCTGCTATTAGTGTATCGCAGCTTGATTCAGATCTCCTTACTGGATTACTTATGTCTCGGGCGAGCTCCAGAGCTTGCTCCCCTATCTCATGTTCAGTATAAATCTGGTGATAATCTGGGCACAGGAATTTAAGTAGACGTGGGTGGGCACGAACTCAAGTACTGACTTGAGGTTCTGCGATGTTATCCAACGGGGCTGCAACTTGACAGTTCGACAGCTTCTTAAGTAAAGTTGCAGCCCCTTTGGTCAACATCGCAGAAACTCAGGTCAGTTTCGTAGCTTCGGAAGTACTTTTTGTGTTTGTACTAAAACTACTCTCACTGTATGATTCTCCACCCTTGTGTACATTACTTCCTCATGATGTCTACGTCTTAGTAGGGTGACGAAGAGCAAACACAAGGACATAAATCATGCACTTGAATGCAAGCACGAGTGTTCATACTTCGAGTAGCTGCAGTGCATATACCTGGTAGGTAACAAAACGATGAATTGTAAGCGTATCAGCAATCCATCGATGGGCCGCTGTTCAGACAGAAATGCCCCGACGCGGCAAGCAAAATGGAGCGATAATGATGCAAACGCGGGAGTGAAGGGGAAGGTTTATGCTCTAGTCCTTATGAGCCGGACGTTGGGCACTGCAAGTTGCGACTGCTATCTCCTAAGGAGTTCGCCCTCGTGACCACGAATACCCTTGCTTGTTCGCATGAGTTTTCTTGGGTAAATACTACAATCGAAAATTGATAATTGCGACGTCACCACTAGATACGCATGCGGCGATCTGGTCACCCTGTTTGTTCCAATTGACTTCGTAGACATCACCATTTGCCTGATACATCTTTAGTAAGGACCCGTCCTGCAAACACAGCACCATGTCCACCGTGAGTCCACACATCGTCAGTAGCCGCACACAAATTGATCAAAATCCAACGCACCGTTAGTGACCAAACATTGACCATGCCCCCAACGGTTCCGCTAGCCAAGTGTTGTCCATCCGGGCTAAACGCAACACCATATACTGGATACCTGCAGCAGTTAAGTCGTCATCGTGGACGCCATGTTAAAACGAGAAGGAACACACCAGCTGCACCGCACGCCACGTACTGGTGATCAAATGTTCTCCTACAAGAACCCGATTCTGCATCCCATAGCTTCACGGTGCCGTCAAACGAAGCGCTGGCTAATGTCAGGGGTTGGTCTGGTAGAGCCGTGCCGGGGCCCGTACAACTCCAACGAAACGTGTATACTTCCTTTTTGTGCTCTTGCAGAGTATACACCAGTGCTACTGAACTTGCTGCATCCGATGCTGGATCCACCTCGCTGTTTTTACAGCTGTCCACTTCCATGTCGTCGCCAAACTCTGTCTCCTTCTTGTCAGCAGCTTTTGCAAATGGTTCCCAGATCTTTACCGTGTAGTCATCAGAACAGGATGCCAGAAATCGACCAGACGGGTCCCATTTGACAGAGTTGATTGCATCCTTGTGACCCCGCAACACCATATCAGCTTTTGTTTCTCCCACGCGAGCGACACAAATACTCATATCCGATGAACATGTAGCGAAAGTAGAGTCATCCTTCCACGATGCATCTAGGATTGGATCCTCATGCAGCTTGAGCTGTTGCCTTTTCGTTTCGGTCGTAGCATCCCACACAGCAACAGTCTTATCAAAGCTCGCACTAAGCAAAAACAGACTAGTCTTGCTCCACCGTGTCGCGAACACCGGTCCATTATGGTACTGGAACATGTGCTTGATCTCGCCATCCGCATCCCATATCCGTGTCTTGCCGTTGTACGTTCCTGACGCTAACAAACATCCATCATGCTACAATGCTCATCAGATCAGTATCATACTTTCGTCTGTGTAGTTCTTTCAATGAAAACAAAGAAACAGGATGGATCACGTACGTTCCACTCGAGAGTTGTGACGTCCTTGTGCGGTCCTGAGCCGTGATCAAGGATCTTGTGCACCATCGATTTTTCATCTTCCACCTTGTTTGGCAGTGTCCAGAGCCTCGCTGTCGAGTCACTGGACCCCGACACCAAAACATTTGTCATTGGGTTCCACGAGCAAGCGTATACTTCCTTCTCGTGTCCACTCAGCAGCACGAGTGCCTCCTTGTCTAATTTGTCTACGCCATTCATCTCTGTGCAGAAGCAGCAGCAGCAACAGAGACAGCTCATCCTATCATTAATACTCCATGCAGCTCCTTTTACCCTCTCCTCCTTCTTTACCTTTCGTACCATCCACGGCATGTGGCGAACCCTCTCCTTTCCGCTTCCGCTTGTTACCCGACTTGAACGACCTTGCACTACTAGAAGCAGACTGTGCCACACGACAAATGTGCGGACTCAGCAACGAAAACTCGCCACTGCACTCGCGCTCCGTTCCATCCTGCGCACCATCCAGCAAACAGCAAAAAACCAACATCAAACTTTTTTTGTCAGTCAACTCTCCTCTACGTGTATTCCACATACAAAATACATGTAAAATATACACATCCGATCTCATCAGATACATCAATAGCAACTCTCATTTCACTACGAAATCAAAAATAGGCACAGCAGCCAGCCACACCTCGTTCAAATGCGCTTCAATGCCGACATACTGCAGCCCCTTTTGCACAAACGACACGAGCGCACCGGGTGGCACTTCGGTACGGATCACACTCGACTTGGCCAACTGGCTCTCGTACGCAAACGTGAACGCCGAGTGCAAAAAGCCCGACTCTTGCAGGTACCGGTAGATGAGGAAATTCACTTCGTCCGACGTGATGGCCATTGTGACTCACGTCAACGGGTCGATCGATCGGTCGCACTAGCGAGCGACGGACTTTTGGCTGTGGCAGGCGCTTGACGCGTCGTGTACAACTGGAGGAGCCGGAAATAGAGAGAAGAGACACGGACACTCAAAAGCGCACGCGGGTGCAGCAGCAGAAGCAGCAGTCGGAGCGCGAGGAGTGACGACTATCTCAAGGCTCGACGTCTTGCGCCGTGGCTTCCGCGAATAATCCGTCATACCGAATCGAGCGCCACTCCCCCTCGAATCCGGATCTTTCATTGGGCATAATTCGGTCGGACCGTCCACGTAAAACAGCGACATCATTTTAGCGAATCACCGGGCGTAAAGCTATTATTGGCTCAAGATCGCAAGCCCGCAGTCCACCTCCTACTGTGTATTATTTCTCAATTGGCTAGCTCCTTGTCTAGCTTTTGCGCTTCAGCGTGGACACTCTCGTCGTCTTCACTCTTGCGGGGGAGCGCGAGTGCCCTGTCAACCCACTCTTTGGCTTTGGCATTGTCCTTTTTCTTGGCATAGACGCACGCAATCAGCAGCGCCCGCTTCTTCCACGTATTCGGAGCCAACGCTTCCGACTCGAGTAGGTACTCGAGCGCTTGGTCATACGACGATTCCGGCGGCTTTCCAAAGAGCACGGCCGCTGCCTTGCGCTCGAGCCACGATAGATCCGCAATAGCCATGCACCAGCGCCCCAGGAGGTAGTACGTCGTCGGGTTGTGCGGGTTGAGTTGCACGGCCGTTTCCCAGTGCCGCTTGATCTCGTAGGAATTTGCAATGGCGACTCTCGAGCCTTCGTAGTCGCCAATCGACGACAAGATGATGCCGTACCTGCATTAACAGTAGAAAACTAATGACCAGGGGGTGTCAAGTACGTCTCTGACTGATACTCTACCTGCTTACCAGTTGTGCACGGCCGCCACGTCGTTCGTCAACTCGAGACCTTTCTGAATCACGTCATGCGCGTAGTAAATGAGCGCCTTCTTCTCGTCTGCGCTCGTCGCACAAAGGTTCGAGACGTCGTACGCCGCGCGCGTGAGTCGCCAGATCACACCCACGTCGTCCTGACGACTCGCGTGCATCTCCTTGAGCGTCGCCAAGAGCTCGCGGCGGTCGATTGTGCTGTCGTTATACAGCTCTTCTGCTTTGATGGCGTCAGCCGACTCCATTGGAAGCTTTGGAGCACATGATGCAGTAGTCAACGCGAGTGTGGAGACCGAAAGGAGCGCGAGAGAGACCGAGAGACGTCGAGAGGCGACGTGTACTGGGGAGATACACTGGCTGCCACGATGGATCTGAGACGGCGGCCGAAGCACACGCATGGTACGAGGCAGGGAAACGAGACCTGCAGTACGAATATCACGAGTGTGTGGGAAAGAGCAAGCAGGGAGAGAGGGAGTTGGGAATGGCGCAGCACGTACGTCGCAGCATGGAGGCGTTTAGAATGAGGAGGGGAAGAGCGTTGCGTGACGGTATTTATGATATGACGAGAAGACGAGCGTAAAGTCTGACGTGGCAGTTGACTAACAAGCTCAATGGAACGGGACACATGGATGCAATCCCACACATAGGCCCTGCAACGAAAGCGATGGAATTACGGAACGGGGCAACAGGACGAACAAAGGAACGAGCAGCTACGTACGTACGTGACCTACTACTGTTTGATGCCATAGCGATCGGCGTAGTACTCTTGCTCAGCCTTCATTTTGCTCACGAACTTCTTGTCAAAGCGCTCGCGGTTGTCGTTGATACGCGCGACAATGTCGTCCACGTCTAGCTTGAGGGGACTCTCGATCAATTTGAAGATTCCCACCTTACGTGCGTGCTCATAGTGCTCATCAAGCGAGAACGCCGACAAGTGATGCTGATCGCGATGCGTGCCGTGCACGACGACCGAGATATTCAATGACGCCACCATCTCGGGCGTCACCTGCCACGGTGCATCGATCAAGACGTCGTCCACGTACTTGCAGCCAAGTACACTGAGCACACGCTCATGCAGGTTCATAATCGGGTAATTGAAGCCTCGATGGGCATTCACCACGCTGTCATTGTGCACCCCCACGACAAGATACGAGCCTTCTTGTTTCGCAAGACGCAGGATCTCGACGTGGCCAGCGTGGAACATGTCGAACGCGCCATCAATGTACACGATCTTGTCACTCTTCTGTGGTTCGTGATTGCCCACTGAAAACAAGCGCAACATGCGGTTGGTCGTCAAGAACTTGGACGGCCGCTCCTTGGCTTTCTTGTCCTGCAACATCCGTGACGACAGCTGACCGTTCGCAGCAAAGTGGTCGTGCGTGTGATGTGTCTTGTGCATCACGAGCATGCGGCCAAGAATGTCGCTCGTAGACACGCCTTCCGTGCGTGGGATCGTCCGGTACTTGCCGAGCTTCTGCGCCGACTCGTAGACGTCTTTGCCATCAACAATACACGGATCGTCTCCATGCACGACGTAATCAATCCGGTGTTTCTCGAGCATCCGTTGTAAGTACGTTTCGTTCATAATGTACGGACAATGCGGCTCGACTTCGTCCACGAACTTACAGCCTTTGACGGACGCGATGCGTTCGTCATTATTGAGTACGGGAGGGGCGCCTTTGCACGCTGTAATGGATTCGTCATCATTCACCCCCACGACCAGATAAGTGCCCAATGAGCGGGCCTGACGGAAGGCATTCATGTGGCCATAGTGCATCATATCAAAAGCGCCGTCCATCCAAATGCGGATCTGCTCCTTGGGCGGCGCTTCCCGCTCCTCCAGCTCCATCTGCGCCATCCGGTCCTGCAGCTCTTGCACCTTCCGATACGCTTCGTCCAGCTCCTCCTTCAGCACGCGTCGGCGGCGGCGATGGCGCTTGCCAAACAGGACAAAGTACATGAAGAGGGTGAAGATACCGGTTACGAGCGCAATTGCGAGTCGCTCAGCGTCTGGGTACGGTTCAGGGAGGCCCATGCGTGCGAACAAGTGGTGCACGTGGACCGTGATCTCCTCGGCAGTTGGCGAGTGCAGCAGCTCGTGCACGTACAGCACGACGCGGCTCTTGCGTGCTGCGGACATGGCTACAGAATGCAAATCAGAGGGAGGAGAAAAGTGTCGAGGCAAGGATCGCTTCGATATAAAGGATGACAGGGAAAGGAGATGGAAGGATGATGTTGCGTGAAGGTGGGAGGTGACGGGGTACGATGTTGCGTACCCTTTTGTTTTGCGTGGTGCACATTATGATGTCCGTGATGTAATCCTCGACATGCGGATTGACATCCCGAGGGGGAGCTTGACCGTAATAATCCACTGACTGGAGCTGCCTGGAAATCAGTGGAAGCGAGAGCTTGTGCCATTAACGACCGTCGCCCTTTGTCTTCCCTTATCGGACCCTTATTTCCAAATCGAAGCGCAAGTCTCCGTCACCGGTTCAAGCGATTGCGTTATCCTTCTTCGACAAGTGCCACCATGGGTCTCTCTCAAGAACGTAAGCTCGAGTACTTTGGAAAGCTCGAGACGCTGCTGGAGAACTACACCAAGATCTTCCTAGTTGGCGTGGACAATGTCGGCTCGGCTCAGATGCAGCAGATCCGTCTCGTGCTCCGTGGCCGCGGTGAAGTGCTCATGGGCAAGAACACGCTTATGCGCAAGGTCTTCAACAGCTTTGTGAAGAAGAACCCGGGCCATCCGCTCGAGAACTTCATTCCGCTGCTTAAGGGGAACGTTGGCTTTGTGTTCACGAACGACGACCTGACGGAGATTCGTGAAGTGCTCGAGTCCAACCGCGTGCCTGCTCCTGCTCGTGTCGGTGCCATTGCTCCAGTGGACGTGGTCGTGCCTCCTGGGCCTACGGGTGCTGACCCTGGTCAGACGTCGTTCTTCCAGGCGCTGCAGATTGCCACCAAGATTCAAAAGGGTCAGATTGAGATTGTGTCCGAAGTGATGCTAACGAAGAAGGGCGAGAAGGTTGGCAACTCTGAAGCTGCTCTCTTGCAGAAGCTGGACATCAAGCCGTTCTCGTACGGTTTGGTCATCGAACAAGTGTACGACAATGGCTCGATCTTCGACCCTGCCGTGCTGGACCTGACAGAGGCTGATTTGTGCGCCAAGTTTGTGGCGGGTTTGCGCAATGTCGCAGCTGTGTCGCTGGAGCTGGGGCTTCCGACGCTCGCCTCGATTCCTCACTCGATCGCCAACGCTTTCAAGGACCTGGTGGCCATTGCTGTGGAGTGCGAGGAGTTCTCGTTTGAGAAGGCCGAGCCGTACAAGGCGTTCCTAGCTGACCCGTCAGCATTCGCTGTAGCTGCCCCTGCTGGTGGCGCAGCTGCTGCCACGGAGGCCAAGAAGGACGAGCCCGCTGAGGAGGAAGAGGAGGTCGACATGGGTGGCGGCATGGACATGTTTGGTGCCGAGGACTATTAGGTCTGCTGCTACTGCAGCTGCTGCAAACGCTTCACGATCAAGTGCGTGTTGTAGGATACACTCAGCTGTTGATGTAGAAGAAGTCATTCTGAACTAGTAGTAGCTAGTGTACCCAACTACATGTGGCTAAGCATTTGTGAATGAAAGCAAAATCTGAACGGAGCTTTTTGGAGAACCCTCGTGTTATTGCGTGTGTCATGGTTATACTTCGCCCCTCTCTACCAGTTGCTGTACCATGCACGAGACTAAATGGCACTGTTTTAAATTCAAATCCAGATTCAAAATTCGGTGAATTATTCAAACACCATCCAGTGTTTGTTTATTCATCCAACATGAACATCGTGCCTGTACGTCTGCTCTGCTTCTCTACAATGTGATATGGTCTTTGAGTGTTCGTAATCCTCTCAATGGTATCCAACTCACGTAGTGTTTTCCTACGTCGGTAGCTGACGAAAGAAGCGCTCGCTGGACGACAACGTGGCTGCAAGTGCAAGAAGTCCACTTGTCTCAAGCTCTACTGCGAGTGTTTTGCAGCAAGTGGTTACTGTACAGAAAGCTGCCAGTGCGTTGGCTGCAAGAATCAGACGTCCAATCAGGTGGAGATTGACCAGGCTATCCAGGTCATTGAGAAGCGCAGACAGAAGTCGTTGCGCTCTTCAGTGCGAGTCAACCGAATCCTGGAGCCAGACCATGTCGAAGAACGCACAAGTCGCTCGATGACTTGCACCAAGCCACCTGCGACATTCTCTACAGCTCAAGAATCTGCTGCAGCATTCGGTAGAGCATTACCTCGACAAGTATGCGCCTGTCCAGATGGTCACTGCACCAGTGACTGTCCGTGCTTGAGCTCATTTGGAGTCTGCTTGCCTCACTGCCGATGCAAAGGTTGTCTGACGGTGCAGCGACAGCCCGAGAGAACAAAAGGATGCAGCTGCAAGAAGTCGAATTGCCTCAAGCTCTATTGCGAGTGCTTAGCAGCGCAACGGATATGCGACCAGCGCTGCAATTGTAGAGGATGCAAGAACCGACAAGAGACGCTGGTGGAAAGAGAGCGAGCAGTTGCGACTATTCTAGAGAGGAATCCATTGGCTTTTCAGCCCAAGGTTGCCAATGGATCGAGTCAACATTTACGAGGGTGCAATTGTCGCAAGAGTGCTTGTACGAAGAACTATTGCGAGTGCCATCAAGCCGGAGTGGCGTGCACCTCTCGCTGTACATGCCATAGGTGCCAAAATACGGAGACTTGTGTCCTGGCCAAGAAAATGCTAGTGCTTGCAGGTGTCGATATGGATGGAGACAGTCGGCGTGTCAGTTCGAATCCACCGTCGCAACGAAAGCTTGCAAAGCGGCCACATGGCATAGATCTGAAGGACGCAGACACACAAGTCGGATTGCAGACGCCACCTCAAGTATTTGCAACGAAGCCTAACGCGTTCGAATTGCTATCGAGAACGGCTCCGGTCGGACCATTCACACTGAATCAGCGAAGGAAATCAGCTGAGGATGGTGCTACTTCAAGCATGCCAAGTAAACGTTCACCCAGCCATATGGACCGCTTCCACGCAACAGGCGAAAGCGTTGCTGCACCGATATTTGTCAAGCGAAAATATGCGAGGCAAAACTCGCACAAAGTGCCTTTCGTAGAGCGAATTCAAGGAACTTCCGTCTCGATGGATGGAGGCCAGCTGCCGGATGTAGTGGATACCGTGACCAACGTGTACGATGCGAGGAACACGGGAGGAGTCAGTGATCCGGAGCTCACCATTCTAAGTCGGTCACTGCTTTACACTGCAGCGGGTGTTGCATGTGCTGGCGAGGAGAACAAGGTTGCAGCTTTTTCTGTGGATCAACAGCCGGCCGAACAGCAAGACGGGGATGTTGAAGCGGAACCACAGTGTGCCGATGACTTCAGTCATGATCGTGAAGCATTGTCACCAACTGCTGCTAGTTTGTTCTGCGATGAAGAGTACAGTGAGGCTGCAGATGAAGATGCCGACGCACCAAAGCTGGTGCCAAACGGATGCAACATGGCATTTGGCTCAACGTCGACCGATCAGGAGTCCAATCTCCCACACGGGCAGAACCGGGGGAAGAACGGTCGAAGCGCCCTGCAAGAACGCGCTGTGCTTCAAGAGTTTAGCGTGTGGCTTCGAAACTTGGCAGCTGGTATCCCTTCGTGCAAATGACCAGACCAAACTAACTCGCATCACCACAACCGAGCCGGAGTTGCCCAATGCCGTCAGCACAGGCCACTAGCGCGACGTCTCTATTACCAAAACAGTGCTGCTAGCACATTTTGATGGCCTATGGCAAGCTAACCGCCCGGTTGCTGCCATCAATTACAACGCCGAGTCGTCGATGCCCTCGCACTTGTAAATGTGTTTGATGGCGTCGTAAACACCATCGACAATCACGTCCGGTTTATGCTCTGGGTCCTTCGAGCCATCATAGATCCCCGTTCGAACGAGGACAGAAGTCCAGTCATCACCAGCGTTGTTTGCGCCCTGGATATCGGCGAGAGGATTGTCGCCAATACCGTACATGCGTCTCAGTGGCTCAGGCTTTTTTGAAAAGGTGTTGAGAAGACGCTTTGCGTAACTGAATGTTTTGACACAGGTGACCGATGATGTAAGTAACCATGCACTCAGCACCATTCGAGATTGACGCGTTGACGTACTCGTACGTGACCTTGTAGGGTTTGCCGTAGTGCGTCGTCTTCAACCTACGGCCTGTATAGTCTTCATACAGCAGTTTCAGGCATCGCATGAAAGCTCCTATAGCACAAGCGATGTATTCAGACATATACAACATTGTGAAGCGAAAGCAAGATCGACAAGAACACGATCGTACCTTGAGCGAATCTAGGGAACGGGTATGCTCCACTGAAGACAAAGTCGTCGTTGCTCAAGAACAACGGTGTCTGCTTGCCCGACGGGCATCCACTTCCCGGCGGATTACCTCCAATGAGCACATCCACCGCGACCTGGATTTCAGGTGCCCACTCAATCGGATCATGCATCACAATAATGGCTTCAATGGGCTCATTGTAATGCGGTGCCGCTCTGATCCCGCAAAAAAGCACAGTACAAGAGTCAGGTACAGCAAACGGCACACCGTCGATGAAAAAGAATGCCATACCTTTGTTCCAAGTGCATGAATGGATATTGCATGGGATGATGATGCAGCAAGTCCTTTACGCTCACAATTTTATTGAAACCGTAGCACTTGGCCTATAACAATACAACAACAACACATGCTTTCAGTTTCCAATCACGACTTCTGTTGTTACCAAATATTATCAAGCAGCATGTACCACACGCCAGACATCGTGCGAACCCATAATAAGCACCCGCTTGTCTACAGCCAAAGAAAAGAGTACAAAGTTTAGCTTTTTATTCGATTTTGCATTAAAAAAGTAGCAGCAAATACAGCCGCGACCACCATCACGCACCTCCATAGGTCTTGGCAATTTCTCGCATGGGCGTGTGTGAGAGAATCATATGCTCGGGGTCAATGGGCACGTCCAGAATTGTGCTAAGGTTCTTGGCCTTTTTGTCTTCCATGCAGCCTCCACCATTGGTCAAAAAGATGTGAGCCACATTGTTCGATCGAAGCGACTTCAACACACGCTCTGCTTTCGGGAGCGCATGGCCGCCACTAGAAGCACGCAAATACCTTTAGCAAGTTATATTTCAACTAATATAACAAATGAGAGAGACATGGGTCGCTATCTTGTTGAACCCTGATGTCCGAAAACCATAGTCAGGCGTGTTCGTTGTACCGGATCAAGACGCCGTCAATGTCGAATGCAATGCCAAACGAAGGAGCGGACCCTGAAATCAGTGGAGCATTCGAAGCAGCAGAAAGCGCGCGGCGGAAGACCGACGGGACGTGACCAGACTGCCACATCAGGAGCGCTGTGACGTCGTGGTCGACACTGGTTTTTGCTGTAGACCACACTATTTTCGTGCTGGCACTCCATCGAGGTTTGTACCCACTCACCTGGATCTATCCACCCACCCACCCACTCACCGGACATTCGGCTTTGGCACTCCGGTGGGTGGGTCTTTCAAAACTCATGGAGCTCATCATCGGATGCGTGGGCAAACCCAGTGCTGGCAAGTCGACGTTCTTTAATGCGGTAACCGACGGCAAAGCGAAAGTCGGCAATTTCCCGTTCACGACTATTGAACCAAATGAGGGCGTCACGTACTACATGACGCCGTGTCCGTGTGCGTTGAAGCACAAGACAGCAGTGTGTGCCCCTCGCTATGGCTCCTGCAAACAGGGCACGCGGTACATTCCCGTCAAGCTGCTGGACGTCGCCGGTTTAATCCCAGGAGCGTCAGAAGGTGCAGGACTTGGCAATAAGTTTCTGGACGATCTACGGCATGCGCAAGTGCTGATGCACATTATTGACGTCTCGGGCCACACGAACGAAAAGGGCGAAGAAACCGTGGGGTACAACCCGATTGATGATGCCGAGTGGCTCGATACGGAGATCCATATGTGGGTGTTTACGAATCTCTGGAAACGCTGGACGTCCATTGCTAGAAGACATCAAGCTACGAAAAACAGTCTGCAGAACACGTTCGTGGGGCAGCTATCGGGGTACGGTGCGACCCCGTCATTAGTTAGCAAAGTGCTCGATCGGGTCGGCGTGAAGGAACCTCTAGATCTGATGACGTGGGTCGAAGACGATGTGCATGAGTTTGTCAAGATCTTTTTGGACATTCGCTTTCCCACGGTGTTGGTGCTCAACAAGGCTGACCAGGGAGACGACACAGATCGCAACATTGAGAAGATTGTGGAGAAGTACGGTAGTGACCGCTGTATTGTGGCGAGCGCAGCAGCCGAGTGTTTCTTACGCGCAGCTTGCAAGCAACGCTATATTCGCTACGAACCAGGATCGATGTTCTACTCGACGCTGGAGGAGGAGAAAGAGAAAGAGGACGACGAACAGGCCAAAGCTGGTCCTCTGAAACCGATGGAGAGGAAAATTCACAAGCGCTTGGAACGCATTTCCGATATGGTGTTATTCCGCTATGGCAGTACTGGGGTCCGATCCGCTATTAATGCTGCCGTCGAGCTGGCTGACGTAGTTGTTGTCTACCCGGTGAAATCATTGAAGAGCTTTGCTACGAACACGACACCAGGAGCCAGTAACAAGGCCGTTTTCGCTGATGCAGTGATCGTAAAGCGTGGCACGACCATTAAGGAATTGGCCGGTCGTATCTCGCAGTTCCTGGGAGCTAACCTTGCTTATGCTGAGGGTGACGATGGCCGAAGACGTGGTGAAGACGAGCCCATCACAAGTAACAGCCTCATCATCAAGTTTACGACAACTGTCGCGTCGTCGACCTCGGCGGTATCCGGGACTTCTGCAGCTGATAAGGACAGCAAAAAAGCGGGTCACATAGGAGGCAAAGCGAGAACCCGAGCCGCTGTAGACGATAGCTTCGAGTAGCGACGTAAAGGAGAGGTCGACGAATACAAAGCAATGAAGACGCGTTAGACTTGTCCTTTGAAGCGAACATGGTTGTAAACAGATTGCAATGAAATTACTTTCAAGTCTCAAAAACAAGGGAGAAGCGGGTGCTCGCACACGAGATCAGTCCGTCACTAGGCACTGCACGTGACCTGAGCACGAGGAAGCGCCTGCGATGGGACACCGCTGGTCTGCGCCACAAGGCCAAAGCTGCCAGAAATGAAGAGACGGCCAAGGCCCATGGTCACAGAGTCTAGTTCCTCGGTGCTCATGATAGCACCAGCCAGCTCAGCTTCCGGCGAGAAAATGTACACGCCCTTGTAGCAGGCCACGTACACGTAGCCGTTGTCATCCACCTTGATTCCCCTGGCATACCCGTCATCAGTTTCCAGCTCAGGATGAGCCGTGAAATTGAAAAACACACTAGAGTTGCTGACCGTGCCGTCGTCTGCCATGATGTAACTCTTGACGTACGAGTTGCCCTTCTGCGAATTCGTGATGTACATGATATCCTGGGCTGGCGAGAAGGCAATCTTATTGGGACGCGTCATATCGCAGTCCACAAGCTCCACAGATTGATCAATACCGTCGCGTAGCATGTAAACTCCGTTGTATGGAATCTCACGGAGAGGTGATTTGTCAAGAGTGTCGCCGTCAAAGTCTGCGGTGCTCGTAGCCAGGCCGAAGGGGCTGTCAGAGAAGTACAGAATGCCATTGCGAGCATACTCGGCGTAAGTCGGGCTGTTGAACTTCCGGCCACGGTAAGTGGAGATGGCGTCCACCACTTGACCCTGACAAGCATCGTCAACCGACTTGAAATTAAGCACACCCAGAGTGCGGCCACCAGTACGAGCAATCACGATACGATCATTTGCCGGCGATACAGTGATGCCACCGCAGCCCCTGTAATACACGTCGTCGCAGCCCTCGGGGTGGTTCTGAAACGAGCAACCTGACTGGTACGCTGACACGGACAGCGTTGTGGTAGCAGAACAGACACCTTCCACATTAACATCGATCTCAGACGAGTTAGTAGTAGTAGCGTCCGGCACGTCCTCTGCGCTCCACTTCCAAATGGCATTGCCCTCGATATCACAAAACAGCACATCGATATCTGATGTGTCTGGCGTGCCACTGGTCAGGAAACGACGGCTCGGACTCGTATAGCCGCGGATAATCGTAGGCGACGTGTACTTCGATGCGGGTGAGGAGCTGGAAGAGCTGCCAGCCGAGGACGACTGAACCACTGTTTCTAAAGTGCCCAACTGTGACGACAGCGAGTCCACATTGGCAGACAACTGCGCATTATACGTTGTCGACCAGAATGATCCACCCGACGCACTACTCGGGGCGGAAGCCGTCACCGGTCTTGGCAATGTCCCGGTATTTGTAGAGATTCCCCCTCCGCCACCTCCACCACCACCTCCACCGCCGCCTCCACCGACGCCTCCACCGCCACCACCTCCCCCCCCCCCCCCCCCCCCCCCCCCCCCCCCCCCCCCCCCCCCCCCCCCCCCCCCCCCCCCCCCCCCCCCCCCCCCCCCCCCCCCCCCCCCCCCCCCCCCCCCCACCACCACCACCTCCACCGCCGTTACCTCCTCCACCACCACCTCCACCACCACCTCCACCACCTCCACCGCCGTTACCTCCTCCACCACCACCGCCACCGCCTCCACCACCGTTACCTCCTCCTCCAACATTTCCTCCTCCACCACCGCCGCCACCTCCAGTTCCTGCTCCAACTCCATTGCCGCCTCCTGCTCCTGCACCGGCTCCAGTTCCAGTTCCACCTCCTGCTCCAGTCCCTGCTCCATTGCCGCCTCCTACTCCCACTCCTGCCCCGGCTCCAGCTCCAGCTCCACCTGCTGCTCCTCCTCCGTTAGTAGACAGTCCTCCAGCCCCTGCTCCAGCTCCTCCTCCAGTTCCCGCCCCTCCTCTAGTGTCGGCCCCGCCTCCAGCTCCAGCCCCGCCTCCAGTTCCGGCGCCGCCTCCAGTTCCAGCCCCGCCTCCAGTTCCAGCCCCGCCTCCATTTCCAGCCCCGCCTCCAGTTCCAGCCCCACCTCCAGTTCCAGCCCCACCTCCAGTTCCGGCTCCACCTCCAGTTCCAGCCCCGCCTCCAGTGCCAGCCCCGCCTCCAGTGCCAGCCCCGCCTCCAGTGCCAGCCCCGCCTCCGGTACCGGCTCCGCCTCCAGTTCCGGCTCCGCCTCCAGTTCCGGCTCCGCCTCCATTTCCGGCTCCGCCTCCATTTCCGGCCCCGCCTCCAGTGCCAGCCCCGCCTCCAGTGCCAGCCCCGCCTCCGGTACCAGCCCCGCCTCCAGTTCCACCCCCACCCCCAGTACCGGCTCCGCCTCCAGTACCAGCCCCGCCTTCAGCACCAATCTCCCCAGTTCCACCTCCACCAGCTGATGGTCTCCCAACTCCACCCCCACCTGCAGAAGGTCTTCCAGATCCACCACCTCCGTCAGTAGATAGTCCTCCCCCTCCAGCTCCCCCTCCAGCTCCCCCTCCAGCTCCTCCCCCCGTAGACGGCCGTCCCCCAGTAGCTGTCCCGCCTTCTCCATTGGGCGGTCCCCCACCAGCATTTCCGCCAGCATTTGTCGTCCCATCCCCATTCGTAGTCCCGTCTCCTCCTCCCCCCGTCACTCCGTCACTCGACTGGACAGCACCATTCCCTAGCCCTCCATTAGCCTCCAACTGCAGCAGCTGTTGAGCTTTTGCCCGGATGTTCGGGAACACGTTCTTCTCAAAGTACGCGAGTTGTCTCGCTTCCGTAGCTCCCCACGCCGCCACTTGCGTCGGGTAGAGTCTCACACACAACTTAAAGAGGGACGACACCTCCTCTGTCATGTCTGGAGCAGCCACAAGGTACCGCGCCGCATGGTCTTCGAACAGATCGACGCTCAGCAGGCGTCGCCCGTCCTGCAGTCGTGACGACGCCAGAAGCGCTTGCTCCAGCGCAACAAGCGGATCGCCTGCCGGAGCGTCTGCGGCGGCTTGGGCAGCGACAACAGCCACCGCTGCAAGGAGCAGGTAGCGTGCGCACCGCATTCTCCCTCGTATGCGTTTAAGGGGGGACGGCAGCACACAAGTAGCCAGTGCACTCGTGGTCCGAAATAGACTGGACTGATCGCTCAACTGAGTCGTTTACTTTGTGTCGGCCTTGGAGTCGCGCGCAATGGTTTTCGAAAGAGCAGAGCGGGGTCGGGTTCTCGCACAAGTACGATTCGAAAGAGCATACAATTACGACGATGTTGCAGACAGAAGCGCGTTGAGCCAGTGCGGAGAAAAACTTTCAGCCAATCGACGCTCGCTACGATATTTGGCCGATCGTCTGTCATCTTGCCTATCGTTTTTGACAGGTAAATAGATGGTTCCTACTGGTCGATAGTCAGCTTGGCGCCCTGTGGATTGTAAATATTCGAAGGTGTTGGTCGCAACGACGGAAAACGAATCGAAACATCCCATTTGCTGGAACTCAAACTGAAGGGATGCACTCGTGCCGTATCCTGTCGAAGTCGTCCAGATAGGCGGGCAGTAGTCGTAAGCATGTGTAATCACTTGATTTTCTACACGAAAAATTTACTTGTTGCGCTGGAAAAAGACAACCACGCGATCACTGATACGGTCGTTGCCAAGCAGGAAGCCGCTACGCAGTGGCAGCTCTGCAATTATTCATGGACTGGTTCGTGGATCCAGATGACTCTAGATCATCAAAAAGTAGGACAAGAGTCGTTCCGTCGAGTGTCTGCGGGACAGGTCCAGCACTGCCAGATTGACTTAACCCACGACGATCAGATGGGCAGCGACAGCACCTAGCCCTTGTCACAGCGGCGCTCTCTTGCACTTCCACTCGGTAGAGAGCCCCGTGTCTTTGAGCCCCATCGCACTACATTGACGCAATGATTGCCGCAGGGTCTCGTTGACTGCATCCGTTTTTCTTCCACATGACAGTGGTCGTGCACCAATAATTTCGAGTGTTAGTTGCTAGTTGTAGTTAGCAGCAAGTGGAAACAACTGGACTCTAGTTGCGCCGCAAGTATCCGTACAACATGCTTCCTTGTTGCTACTTTGAGTCAACTTTACAACCGCATCAGCCTTCATTTAAGCAAGTTAGTTGCGTGTAACCGCGCTTCTCTCAGTGTATTAAAGCACCCCATGAGCCTGTGGAAACAGTGAGCTTCACTCCCGCTTTTGCAACGACCGTTGTCATCAGAGTGATGGTCGCTTCGTTTCCTTACCACCCAAATCCGGCCTATCTTTGCCATTCCGCAATCTACCAAGTTCAACGCACAACATGGACGCCAGAACGCGCATTCTGCTGGGCGGTGTGTACGCCGGCGTGGGCGTTGTCATGGCCGCAGCGGCCAAGTTGGACTGGCTGCCGAAGGGCGCAGTCGCCGCGTTTCTCGCCCTCGTGTGGTTGGGCTTTGTGCTCGCGATCTCGTGCACAGAGTCGTGGCTGAAGTTCCGCGCGCCTTTCATGCCGCGTCACCTGGCGCTGGACTTAGGCCGTACGATGTTCGCGGCGCTTAATTCGGTAGAGATTGGGCTTTGCGTGGGACTTTGGGTACTGCACTTTTTCGTATCGTCCGCCCAGGACAGCGCCGTGTGGCGCCTCGTTTTTGCCTCGTTTCTTGTGGGCATGCAAGCTACGTGGCTGTTCCCCAAGTTGGAACACATGGCCGAGTTTGTGCTTTACGAGGAGCTCAAGGAACTGGACGTCGACAAGCTGTCGTTCAACCAAAAGATGCAGCTCGGGGAGATGCGCCACAAGGTCCAGATTCAAAGCAAACCAGCCAAGTTCTACCACATGTTGTACACGGGAGCTGAGGTGCTCAAGATGATCACGCTTGTGAGTTTCGCTCTGCACTTCCTCCTGGAAATCCCAGCGTGAGTCTGCGTGTCATGCGATTGTGTGCGTCACGTAGGATATGTCAAAAGGTAAACCCCCACCCCGCCCCTTTCCCTATTAAGTTACCACATGATCACTCGTTTTGATTGGCCAGAAAGATGCTGGCGTGGATAGGAATAGTGGCGCATCGTTCCACCTGTTGCGGACACTTCAGATTTGCTGACCACTGACTCCGGGCCTTTCTCGTAATGTAGATAGCAGGTGCTTCTCCATTTAGCGCCCAGCCAGTCTGTCGGCATGAGAACCGTGTGGCAAAGATCACTTGCTACGCCACTTATGCTGCGCTCGGTCAGACAGTAGTGTCTGGAAACATTGCACCTTCATTACACATTCAGATGATCCCTCTTTGGAATGTGTTTCATGATCGTCATTTTACACGGCAATGTACGCAGATGTCTGAAAACCAACGGGGCAAGACATCAGTGCCGGATCTACTACTTGTCCCGGCTGTACTACAAGAAGACGTGAGGCAAAATGTATGATGGGACTGAACCTCTTCCCAATCAAGATCGGTACGAGCTAATCGCTCACGCGTTCTTGGTCCATCGCTGTCCCATGTAGCGGGGAGCGAAAAGCGCTCAACAAGAGACAGCTAAACGAGGTGGTGGCCGCGAGCCAGGCCATCTATTGTGTTTGCGCGTCCTTCGTACGACAGCTCAGAGCGTGGGGATATCGGCATGAGTGATGGCAGGTTTTAGAACGACCGGTGAAACGGCCTGTTGGTTCAAAGTTTGCGGCTGCCAAGACAGTGACGCCAGCGGTAGCTGCTATCCCTAGGGGCCGTTCGCTTGAGTGGCAAGCGTAAGAAAACAACATGACCCGCTTCGACTCTCGCGAGGTAGTATGAGTCGAGGGGCTGGGGTGCGGTCGGCTTAAGCTTGACTATGGAATTTGGAATGCTGTCTCTCTTCGACTTCATACGTCTACACTGACAGTGACAAGGTACTTGCCGCTTGGATAGAGTCGCACAGGCTTGACCAGCACTCAATTACATCTTGTAGTCTGATTCCGAGAACTTTTTAACCGAAGGGCGAGCATTCGGAAGTTCATACCAAGTCACTGACCTTTCCGCTATGGTGCGTCATAAAGGGTTGATCGATCCTCGAGAAACAGCCCATTTTGAACTCAACGTCGAGATGATCAATAAGGATGCGGCGATAAACGTACAGTGTTAATGCGTCTTGGCCGAGGTATGGTGGACAAGGAAGCTACACAAGCTAATGGCGCAGCGGGACCGACGACATTTCAAAAAGTTTTCACGTTTTTCTGTGCCCGCAGTATCGGTTGCGAAATCAGCCGATAAATCGACACAAAGCCACGCGAGGTCTGGCGTATCGCAACCCAATTAAGGGCTCCCGCGTTTGTCAGACCACGAACGATGATGGCAGCTGACCTTCTTTCACATGTCCCAGCCATTGTTCAGACGTCGCCCTGCGGACGCACCCTTGGATTCCGAGAGCTTGTTACCGTTTCTCTTGAATGCAGTTTCACATGTGAAGGACACCACAAGTACAGCGGCATTCGGTACTGTGTGGTGTTTGTCAGCATACACAACGGAGCCCGACGACGTGGTTCTTGCGACCACATCGGGACAGTGTCCACCGGGTCGTCGCTAGAAAAGGCCACCAGCAACGACTCGACACTTCTTTACCTTGCCACGTTTAGCTGAATCCGGGCAGATCCCAGGCATTGCCCACCTTTATGAGGCCGATAGTGGTTCCAGTCTTTCTACACCTCGTACTAGTCGAGTAAGGTGATAACGTAAGAACGATGACGTGGTTGCAAAGTCCCACGAAGCCGTCTCAATGGAGCTCGTGTATTTATCGGCACAGCAGCAACGCTTAGACGATCTATTTTGTGTGATTGAATGAGCAGCAGCATCATCCGATGCTACCTGTGGGTTAAATGCGTCGCACTAATGTCACCATAGAGCTGGCGAAGAGCTAAATCGTCACACATTGGCTCGCGATCGTAACTGTTCACCACCTAACATTAATAATTTACAAACGATACTGCGACAGGACCGTGTGCCGAGCACACCACTACGCAGTTAGTGATGGAACGAGCAAACGCTGGTAGCCCTATGATCTCGTTTTTGAGCGTAGGTTCGACTTCCGTAAATACGTCTCCGACGACTGCGCGGTCGCTGAAGATCATCACATCAACGTGCACGAAAGCATGCTTTGTCTGTGTTGCTCACGAACGTTCTGACATAAACACTTTTCCGGGGCGCCAATGCGGTGACTCTTGCACCGACGTATAGTCGTTTAACTAGTGATCACCGCCGCGTTTGGAAGCAGCGAACAGCTAAACCAAATTGGTGCATATTCAAGTGCAACGTCACCGACCGACAAATCTCGTGTGACAAGTGGTTTGGAGGGACGTTGTCGCGGAGGACTATGGGGCTGCCGCGTGTAAGGATTTACGACCTACAAAAGCGTTGCTAGCCTCAAGGAGCTGTGCACATTTGACGTGGTGTGGACAGTATCCGCTCATCCTAATGCTCTTTGCAAATGAGTCGCTCGCATCTCGTTGGATTTCTCGGATGCATGCGGCGCTAGATTTACGCAATTGTTGAATGTCCGATTTGAACCTACATTCGATAAGCTCAATTGAATCCAAGGATGCTTCCCACGTGGAGTTCCTAGTGCGGCGTACGTGGAACGTCGGCTCGCGCCTCGAGCGCATTCCGCGGTGAGATTTGCCGTTAGTGCCCTTTTGATGCGGTAAACACTACAACTCCTGCGCATGTGGTTGGCGTCGTTCAACAAACACGACGTTGTCAATGCCACACGATTGACCTGCACGCGAGGTCTTACAAAGCTTCGACCGAGCTGATAACGCGGATGGTGAGCGGACTGTGATTTTCCAATTCCGTCATCTCCAGTAAATCACCTTCCGGCATCAAATTGTCGAATCTCCATATTCAACGAGCGACGCGAAGGTCTTAGCAGCTACATCAGCAAGCGTATGGTCATGAATTCCGAGACTTCTTCAAAAAAACCGGGGTCTCAGCGACCCTGGTTGTAAGAGAAGTCTCCAAATGAGGTCTTATTTCCGGCGATGGAATTCAAGTCTTGAATAAGCTTTCGAATGCACGGACACGATACGATCAGTCAAGCAAAATGCTCTGGACGAGAGACACCGTCGCCCCGGCAAACGGGAACAGTCACGTTGCAGATTTGCTGTTGTCGACTGAGCGGAATTGTTAATGTCGAGTCTTTGTTTGTTTTTGTAGACGTGCAGGATAACAAGCGCATGGTTCTTGGTTACAACTTCAGCAGTGCAGATGGAAAGATCGTTTTCGTCGAACCAGCTCGGGACGGTGTGCGTTGAGTGCAGGATAGGAGAGTCTTTGCTGGGAGTGGTAGGAGTTGTGGGAGCAAGTGACGATGTAACAATCGAGACAAGACCTTGAAGCTCCATCTGACTTCTATTCCAATCCAATGACCGTGTAAGTATCAGCGGCCGCAATACGCGAGTCCAGAGAGGATCATGCAGGTACAGACGTGGACTCTCGGTCCCCTGATAATTGAGGGACGCAGCAGCTGTTCGTTTCGTCGGGATTATGAATGCCAGTCTGTTGGTGCCAGCTCTCCAGCTTCTGATGGTCGATTGATGTGGCGTTTGCTTGGGATTGCGCACACGATGGGAATCCATCTATCTTCCAATCGTTGCGGGTGCAGACGACAATGTGGGAAAACCCTCGCTGAACACTCATTTCACGATCACCCCGTGAGTTTACGTGTTCGTGCTCCTGATGTTGCTCGGCCGATGGTTTTCCAACGCATTAGTAGTGGCTTCTCTGCTAATGATGACCACTCTTGCAGCAAATTGGTCTTCGAAGGAGCTCTACTCAGGGCGACACTGTGCTGGAACGCCCAATTTAGTCAAAATGATTAAGACACAGACTTGCGATGTCGAAGCCTGTACGGCAAACAGCTTAGAAAACCACACGCTGTTCGTGTCTTCGTCGTGCAACATCACTGACCGGTTCACCTACGCGGAAGAGCGCTTTAAAGGGCTCAGCTACGTGGTCATGGAGGAGTACGCGGGGAACCGGTGTCAGGAATTGATCCAGACAACTGTCTATCCGGCGTCAGGCACTTGTGAGAGATCGTCAGCTTTCGCAAACACGTCCGACATCGTAAGCCTTTTCGAGAATGGCACGGCGGCGGTTTTTCTGTATGGAGACAGCGAGTGCGGCAGTGAACCTCTCTTGGAATTCCAGGTCGACAGAGAAGAGATCTTGCGCGGTCACTGTGTCCAAGGCCATTATAGGTTTCACACTGGACCAGCGTCAAAACGATCTGGTCCCAGCCGGCTGGGAGCAAGAGCTTTTGAAAACGGTATCACCTGGGGCGCTTTTGCTGCGATCGTGGCTGGAACAATCGTTTGTGTTGTACTGGTGGCTCTGGCTACGCTTTGGTGTTACCGTCGCCGTAACGAGAACGGCTTGGCTGAGGACGGAGCCACAGTTCTTGCTTCAATGTATACTGGCTGCCCGACACCAGAATGCGCTTTGGATGCCAGCATGCTTGGCACTGAATTATCCTGGACGGAGGAACACATGGCAACCAAGAAGACGCCACATAGCACGAGTACAGCAAGAAGCGGTTTGTGGTTCGACGAAGTCATCGTCACTGCTCGTGTACCTCGCGAGAAAGTTCTTGTGCAGGACTTGATCAGTCGAGGAGGATGCGGCGAGGTATACAAGGGTCTGTACAATGAGGAGGTAGTGGCTGTAAAGATGTTGCTGCCAGAAATGCGCAAGAGCATTGGCCACGTGAATACCTTCTTGGCAGAGGTCAAGCTGATGGCAACATTGAACCATGAACGCATCGTAAAGTTCGTTGGTGTTGCGTGGGACTCGCTCACTGACCTCTGCATGTTATCTGAGTACATGAAAGCTGGGGACTTGCGGACACTGCTGAAAGGGCATGATGACCGCAACAATCCGATTGGCTTTGACCGCAACAAAGCAAAGATCGCCCTCCACGTCGCTCATGCTCTAACGTATCTCCATTCGTTGTCCCCGCCTGTTATCCACCGTGACCTCAAGTCGAAGAATATTTTGCTGACGTCGGAGTTGGATGCCAAGCTCACTGACTTTGGCGTTTCTCGAGAGCAGTCCGACTTTGGCATGACTGGCGGTGTCGGATCGTCCTGGTGGATGGCGCCAGAAGTCATGATGGGAGAACAGTACGACGACAAAGTCGACATGTTCTCTTTCGGCGTGGTGCTGGCTGAACTAGACCAGCACGTTCTTCCGTATACCAACGTGAAGGATTACAGCGACTCTGGTCGGGCTATGCCGGAATTGGCAATTCTGCAGCTAGTGGCGACTGGCCGACTTCAGATCGAGTTCTCCTCTGCAGTCCCAACGGTTATCAAGGAACTGGGGCTCGCCTGCGTGTCTGTCCACCCAAAAGACCGACCTACTGCAGCCGACGCGCTGCACCAGCTCCACACTGCCTTAGCCAGCGAACTGTTCGACACACCTTGGTATCCCATCCTGTAAAATCACAAGCCCTCGAATTAATAAGGGATGAGCTACTCTGTCGTTGACTTGAAATGACCTGTACTGTTCAGCCTGGACACCAAGATGAAAACACGTGCATGGAACCCACACGACACTTGTGGCAGCCCTGTGGCCTTGACATACCTGCACACACGTATTCACATAAAATCTATATACTTCAGAACGTCAGCCACTCACATGCGTGGTGAGACACGCGCACCAGCATTTGCTATAAAAATTGCCGACACTGCACCTCCGACCATGCTACCAACGATAGCCTTCGGATCGCTGAATGCTTCGAGAAATACCTATGATACACATTCGTAAAGATTCGTAGCGACCCCATATCATTTCGAGTCGGCTCGAAGCTACGCCTGCAGCCATGTACGACACATTCTTCATCATGGGACATATACGCACCTCCACAGCCTCAGAATGTGGAATTACGGGTCCGCATTTTGCTGACGTCACAAGGGAGAAGGTTACAATACTAGCAATCGCGGCATTTTTCTGCTAGCCGTGACGGAACTTCCGAGTGCCGCTTTTTCTGAAGCGGTACCTCGAATCAATGCACGATCACTCGAGGCAGAGCTCACATGATCTTACGTCGAAGTTGACCGTTGAGCCTTGCCCACAAGCTCTTGAATTTGGCTTTGTTGAAAGTCCGCTCTTCTACTAGCCATATCCGGTTCGCAGTAGGAATCCTCTGGCTTGCTTTCATGCAGAGCACCACAATAGCTCACGTGCTCACGTTACTTATGCGCCTGCTCTAAATGTGGCCACCGGATACTTTTGAGCTAATGCAGCGCTTGCAAAGCGATTCTACAACGAGAGCTAATGCGTACAAACTACACATATGCCTACGACGATTCCGCACCTTCTCTGGTCTGTACAGAGAGGCGCGTACGGAGCCTTTGTACCGTCGCGTCGGGTTGCGTGCAAACAACAATTGGTCGGCCACTACCTTTCGAGTCTCATCCAGCACGCCAGTTTGCTTTCCTGTTCTTCGCCTGTCTATAAAGCCCAGCCGCACATCTACACCCACGGCTCTTCGAGTGCGTAGCATATGCTCCTCGTCACAAGTTGAAGCCAGACGATCGTTCGTATCAATCGCACACATGAATGAAACACCGGCCATCACATCGGCACTTTTCGGAGCACACGCCGGTCAACATGCGCCGCTTCACAGCGTGAGCTGCCTTGAAATATGCCACTCTGACTATGTGTTGGCCAACAACTAGGCAGAACATTTTCCACGGATGTGCTCTGAGATGGTGTCGTTGCTCGTCAATGATGCCAAGGCTATGGTCACGTGGCAGCATTAGCAACAAAGCGTCCACGGTATTTCAGAGGTATCGTTTCGTCTTGACAATCCACACCTGTTAAGTGCAGACTTTTCTTTCTCAAGCAGCAGTTAGATAAGTATTTGGTGGGACATTGAAGCGCCATCTTGGATATTGGGTTAACCCCTAAGGAAGCATTGAAGACTGATTTAGTCCCGCTTATCGCTCGACCACTCCGTTGCCGCAGAGGCAAAATAGCATGACAGTACGTTCGTGAATGGCTTCGGCTCACATGTTGATGCCGATTTTTCTGTAGAAATTGACCCAAACTTGTACCAGATAAAATAAGGGAGCAAGCCCTGAGCTCGCCTTTGATGTAAACAATTCAGTGCAAGCTTACGTTCCAATTCGAGTGATTAGCGCCTAGTAAATGAAGGCAAATGCTGAACGGCTAGGTTCATTTTTAATTCGTCTGGGTCATTCGCTTTCGTTAGCATAAGTAGCTCATATACACGCCCGGATAGTCAGGAGTGGATCCAAATACTTGGTTCACCATTACTTTTTACTTACTCACATGCCCGTGCAAAGTAGCACGAGGCGCACGCATTGATGCAGCGCGAAAGTATGAATTATCCCCACGCCGTTCACATCGTGTCACGCAATAGGGATCTAATTTAAAGGGCTGATTGCCGCTGTTCGCGGCACCAATCTTATTCATCTATACCTATCATACATACCCTACCCATCAGATCCAGAATCATGCACGGCGCCGTCACTCGCATGCACATATTACGGCGCGTCATGTAAGCGGCCTTGATTGATACCAGTTTGTGAATGACCGAACCCTTTATCGCCAATTAATCACCCAGCAATCAATTCCCATTTACGTGTTTTAGATCACTGATCCTTCGAATCCAGCTACGTGCTAGATCCGCGCAAATTTTACGATTCTCCCAATATATCAGAAGCGGATAATGCGTCTCAGTCCATGGCGTTTGCAAAGTTATTGCATTCGGCACTTGTCTATTTGGTTCTTCTGACATCGGTAATTGTCACAGCAGCAACGCATGACTTGACCCCGACTTCATCTCTTTAGATGTACTTTCTGGTCAAAGCATCTTTGGTGCAGGCGTCACGACCTCAATTGGCCTTGATGCTAAAATTGCTCTTCCACAGGATATAATTCGGTGAAAGATCAAGCTCGCCTTTCATGACCTCAATTCATCCTTGCCGTAATGAAGATCCACCACGCTGCTTGCGATTGAACAGATGCGCTTTTGCCAGTACGAAGCAGTACGTCTTCCAATTGACAACGTGGACATAGAGGGCACGGCACAATACCATGAGAAACACATTTGTACTCGAGACGAAATTGATTCTGCCATCTTCGTATAGACACGGCGAGGAGGATGCGGCACGTCCAAGCGTATCGCAAATGGCTGCAGCGACAAGGCCACACTTGCGGTTTTCCCAGAATGGATTATATTGCGCATACGAAAGAACGCACCTGTGCTGTTCTTGCTCATGGGATTGGTGTAACGGGGTTAATCGTTACATAACAATTTATAAGAAATTGTTATTAGAACATAACTATAAGAGTTATATTCTCAGAATATTGTCATAAGGACAAATATTCTGTAGCACTTACGAGTAGTTCCTAATTGGTTGATATAGGCCATTATATCAACCAACGAAGACGCGCCACGACAGACGCACGCAATGAGTGGTGAGCAGATAGCTGATGTACACATTTGTATTTAGACATAGTTAGATGAGGATAAATAGTGATTTATTAACAGACACTAACTATGATAAATACAGTTCTACTTTTTACTTTAACCAAGTACTCGCTTCTTCTTACCGTCTTCCTCTGCACGTACGAGTGTACGTGAAGTTACGAGGCACCGCCTTATTCTGTCATCAGAATAAGTAGCTTGTACTGTCACCAGTACAAGCTTCAGGGTGCCCCGTTACACCTGGTAGCACTTCGTAGTCCGTCCAAGGACCGCGTTCACATCCAACATGAATATGTTGAATGATGAAGATGACCAAAGCTTTCACGCTACGCGTGAAGGCTACTCCCATTTGAGCGATGTCGAATGGGATGCGGTTGAACGAATGGGTTCGACCATGGGCATCCATGCTGTTAGCGTCATGCTAGAGGCTCTCAATAGAGATGCCCAACATGATGCTATCGCCAAGTTTATTCAAAATGAACTTGACGCAGAACGCGAGAAAGTAGCCTTGCTTCACCAACAAGGTTCTCAACAATCAGAGTTGTTGAGAGAACAGGGTGCTCAACAGTTTGAACTGTTAAAACAGCACCAGGCTGCTGCTGGTGGGTCGATGTACTCGCGTCGACCCGAGACATTGAAGATTGACATCTCCAAATATAGGGGAGTCGAAGAAGACTCCCTCTTGAGATGGTTCGTCGAATTGGATGACGCCATAAGGGCGCGTCGCATCGACGACGGGGATATGCAAGTTGCATTTGCCCAGTCAAATCTGGCAGGACGTGCCAAGACTTGGGCACTGGGGCTCAAGTTGCACGACCCATATGCGTTTGGGTCGTTGGAAGTCTTCAAGTCGCGGCTCAGACAAACTTTTGAACCGCTTAGAGCTGAGTTCAGAGCTCGAACCGAACTCTTAAAACTCAAGCAGGGTAAGCGTGATGTGCACGTTTACGCGCAACATATACGAGATCTCACGAGTTGTATAAATTCCAACCCGGTTGATGAACACACGTTGGTTTCGGTGTTCATGCAGGGTCTTGCGGATGGTCCCGTCAAGACTCACCTGTTCCGACTTGAACTAGATTCACTAGAACAAGCAATTCCATTGCGGAACAGGAAGACTTCAGTCTGAGACAAGCTCGCGACAGCTCTACATCATATCGTCAACCGAGACGATATGACAACGGAGGTCCAGAGCCGATGGAACTCTGTTATGTAGAGAGCGAGAAGGCTCGCTCTACAGGCTACAAGAAGTTGCAGAGATGCAACAGATGTCAAAAGACAGGACACTACGCCTACGAGTGTAGTGCCCCTCGTCCAGTGTCTCGCGACACTGGGCGTAGTGACCGTCCACCCATGAGAAAGGGGCAGGGACGAGGGTCCGCAGTTGGTGCAAAGACGCAACAACGGGATGGACCGTAAAAAAACGGACAGGATCAGTAGGTGCGGAGCACCCTACTGGTCTAGCAACGTCAAGAGAATTTGTAGGCCTCTTGATGAAGGTTGCTCCCAACACACAAACGTTGTGCGTTGCTGCTCTAGGTAATGAGGTCTCACTCATTACCTTGAAACTCGAAGTGACGAATAAGTTGTCCCTTCGAGCTCTAGTCGATTGTGGGGCGTCCAACAATTTTGTGCGACGCCAATCGCTAGAAGATGGTCACTTTAAATTCAGTGAATGTGACACACCTCCTACGAGGATGACAGTACGTCTTGCGACAGGCGCATCCGTAACCGTCATGAAGCGTATAGTGAAGATCCACTATACGCTAGAAGATACCCAAAATGACGATGACTTTATCGTATTGGATTTGGATGACAAATTTGATGTCATCCTTGGAATACCGTGGCTCAGAAGGTACGAACCACGGGTAAACTGGCAACATCGGACAGTAACGATGCCTGCCGCTTGTTCATCAGATGGCCATCTGATGAACGTTTTGGAGCGTCCACAAGCGTTTAGATGTACTATGAGTGAGTGCGATGGCCTCAATTGTGGTACGGTCGTTAGTACGACTGCACAAAACCTTAGTGTAACAAACGGTTACACTTCGGAGCAAAGTCCCGGTGGCTGTGAGGAAACACAGGCTGCGCCGAAGGTCCAACACTCGAATAAGTCGGGTGGACTGGGACACAGATGTATCCCTAGCGGGGAACATCTAGAAGAGAAACAACTGTTCGCTCAGGTTAAGCGAAACGACAATCCTAGATTGACTGGAGAGTCTTTCGTAGAGGATCTCGCTGTGGTTGCGCAACCCCAGCTAGAGGAAGTAATGGGAATAAGTCCCGATTTTACAGACACGGTGGAAATAAGTTCCCCGAAAACCGCGGGAATAAGTCCCCGGGAAGATGAAGGAATAAGTCCTTCGAGGCCTGAGAGAATAAGTCCCCAGGAAATGACAGAGACCTTGAATTTCATAGTCAATAACGAATCAAGTGTAGGCGCTTATACACTTGATCTGATTGCGCCTCGGAAGTTGACTTCGGAGATCACTCAGTTGCCAACGCTCGAACATAAAAGGTTCTTGCGTGATCTGCGTAGTGGCAAAGTCAAGCAGATCTGCGTACTCGTCGCTGACGACGAGTGTGTAGCCGACATAAGGTCAGCAACAGTGTTTACTGAGAACGAGAGAGTTCTCAGTAGTTCATCTATGGACGAGAGTGTCCTAGATGAAAAGACACGAGTTGAGCGATATGACTCCCAATCATGGGAATCGCTCAAGACAAATCCTCTCTATGAAGATTTGGTTGAATTCAAGGATGTATTCCCTGAAACTGTTCCGTGCGAATTACCGAAGGATAAAGGTATTCGACACGAGGTCGAGCTTAAACCAGGCTTGAAGTACTGTGTCATGAAGCAGTGGCCACTGCCTCGTGAACAAGTACTTGCGATCGACAAGTTCTTTGCCGATCGTTTAGCTGCGGGCCATGTGAGAGAATCAACTTCCCCACATAGCTCTCCGACCTTCTGTGTGCGAAAAGCAACAGGAGGGTGGCGGATAGTGCATGCATTTAACAAGTTGAATGCTGCAACGGTACCGGCTCAGACGCCGATACTAAGGAACGACGTAATCATTGATGGTATGTCAAAGAGTACCATCTTTTCGTCCATGGATTTGATGGATGGCTTCTATCAAATCCTTATGCGAGAACGGGATATACCCTATACCGCAGTTAGCACGCCTAGCGGCATGCTCTGGGAGTGGCTAGTAATGCCACAAGGGCTTAGTAATGCCCCTGCCACGTTCAACAGATGTGTATCACATCTGTTGAGACCAGTACGTGATTCCGTACCGAGTTATTTCGATGACGTATTCATCCATAGTCGGGATATGGATGGAAAGTCGGATGTTGAGGTTCACAGGTACCACGTCCGACAGGTTCTTTCCATCATGCGAAAGCATCAATTGTATGCAAACCTCAAGAAGTGTATATTTGCAGCAAGCGAAATACCACTTCTTGGGTGCATCGTTGGTAAGAACGGTGTACGTCCTGATCCCGAAAAGATCAAGGCGATCACCGACTTGCCTGTGCCGGTCGATGTCAAAGGTCTTCGAAAATTCCTTGGGCTAGCGGCGTATTTGCATAAGTATTCACGCAATTACGCCGAGATGACTGTACACCTCTCTCGTTTGTTGAAAAAGAACGAGAGGTGGTTATGGAACGCTGAATGTCAGCGCTCCTTTGATGGTATCAAGCAGAGCTTGATACAATCCCCAGTCCTAGCAATTGCCGATCAGGACAGGCCATTTCATGTGGTCTGTGATGCCAGCAATTTCGCAAGCGGCTGTGCATTAATGCAGTACGATCTTGAAGGCGTTGAACGCGTCGTCTGCTATCAGTCGCGTCAGCTGCAACCAGCTGAGCGGAACTATCCAGTGCAAGACAAGGGACTCCTTGCCATGAAGTATGCACTCGCGAAGTTCAGAGTCTATCTCTTAGGAGATAGACCTTTCATTGTTTACACTGACCATGCGTCATTACGCACGGCAGTGAACAGCCCGCACCTTTCACAACGAATGGCGCGGTGGTTGTCATTCTTTGCAGAATACAACTTTACGGTCGAGTACAAACTAGGACGACTTAATGTCGTCGCTGATGCACTCTCATGTCGTCCCGACTTTGAACCAGTCGTGAGACCCAACAGTGAGACAGTCACTGTTGCGAATATGACGTCCTCAGTACCATCTTCAACGTTGCATGTTGATGTGAGGCGGGCATGCGCCCAAGATGGTGAGATTGTGAAGTTGTTGACACATATCTCACAGCCATCTCGAGAATCGTTGAAACGATTGTCGTCTGCGTATCGATCGGCATCAGATCGATACACTACTCGCAACGGGTTACTGTAATATACAGCCGTTTCTGGTGACACACCACGTGTTGTCATTCCAGATGATACTGATCTACGTTTGCGGATCATGTTCGAGTATCACGATGCTCCTATAGGAGGACATCGTGGCCGGGAGAAAACATATCTCACGGTGAGGCGAGACTTTTACTGGCCCCGACAGTATCAGTTTGTGCGAAAGTATGTTCGCGCATGCGAAGTCTGTCAACGGGTGAAGTCAAGTCCTTCACTGCGTGTGCCTTTACATCCTCTACCGGTTCCGGCTGAGTGCTGGGAATCCATCTCAATGGATTTAGTCTTCGGGTTACCCAAAGACGCACGCGGGAATACGGGTATTCTCGTATTGTTGACAGATTCAGCAAAATGGTACACCTAGTGGCTGTACCAGAGTCAATCACGGCAAGTGGCTGTGCTTGTGTCTTTATCGACACCATCTTCCGACTTCATGGGTTGCCCCGTGAACTCGTATCAGACAGAGATCCACGATTCACTGTTGATTTCTGGCGTTCCGTGTTCAAATCACTCGGAACGCGCTTGAAGATGTCAACATCTGATCATCCAGAGTCAGATGGTCAGACGGAACGTTCCAATCGTGTCCTTGAAGAGATACTTCGAGGATACGTACACTCCTTTAAGAGTTGGAGTGAGTTTTTGCCAATGGTAGAGTTTGCCATCAACAACTCGGTGCATGCGTCCACGACACATGCACCGTTTTACGTGAATGGCTTACGTCATCCGCGTGTACCCACCTTACTAGAGTGTAACTCTGGTTTAAGGGGGGGAGGGACTCGCGCGAGCAAAAACCGATTTGGTTCACGCTCATCACGCTCTGACGAAGAGGTCGTTGCGTTTGATGCCGATATCGATAACATCGATATCGAAGAAAATGATGCCAGTGAGAGTGTGGAAGCCCTCACTGAAGAAAAGGTTGATGTTGCTGCAGTGCGCTCACAGCGCACTGAAGCTAACAAGTCATCAGATGAGTTCATACTGGCTCGTGAAACGGTAGTCCGTTTTGTGCAAGACTCCATCGCCGAAGCGGTGGATAAGTAAAAGCAAAACGCTGACAAGAATGGAAGGGCAAACACTCTTTTATTTAATAAAGGTGACTTAGTCCTACTGTCTACGGTTAATCTACCAAAGCATGTAGTGACTAACTTGGGTAGCAGTAAACTACTACCCAAGTACATTGGCCCATTTCGTGTATTGCACCGCCTAGGCAATGTATACACGATCGAGTTGCCACGTAAGATGCGAACGCATCCCACGTTTTACGTTGGTCGGCTTAAGCCGTACCATCAGCACGCTGCTTCTTCCGATGAAGAACGCCCTTGCGCTCAAGCATCTCGCAGATAGCCTTGTGCTCCCGATGGTGGGCATCGACAAGGGTCTAAAGAGCAGCTATCTCATCCCGAGACCGATCAGCAATCCCACGAGCTACCCTTAGCTCGTCACGAAGAGATGTCAGAGCTCTCTCGTTCTCAAGCTGAGCAAGGGCAAACTCAGCTCGATGCTTCGAGACAGTGTCCGCCATTTGGAGACGCCTGTTCCGCTCATGTTCGAGATCGCCGCGTAACCCTTGCGTTACGCGATCAAAGAAGCTCTCGGGAACACACCGATCCACACGGTTGTGTGGAGAGCGTCTTCCCTCCTCCTCCAGCTCCATTAGAGGACTCTCGCGGTGGCCAGCGCTATCTAGTTGAGCAGCTGTTGAACCACCGCGACGTGAACGGACGTCGGACGAGTTATCTCGTCCAGTGGCGTGGCTATCCCCCGTCCTGGGATACTTGGGAGCCCCGCCCAGCTGATGGTTGACGTACTGGGTCTGGTTGCGCAGTACGACGTGGCACCTCCTGTGCCGCAGAAGGACCGCCGGAGAAAGTCTTCCTGGCACGGTCATAAAGGGATTTCAGGTTGTCAATCCCTTCGTACATCTCACTAGAGATACGTACGCGCCACCACGGGCTATTATGGAGGTAAGCCTCCTTAGGTGCTCGTGCAGAGTTGTTCACACAACATGGGCACGAGTCTCCCCAAGAGAGGCAGGGTAATCCTTTCTCCCTTGACAGAAGATGCAGCTTGTAGCGTGCAACTGTCGGGGTTCGCTTTTCAAACTTATCACGAGCTTTGACAAGTTTGTCGTTCCAAACGTCACGACCTACATCCTCGAGGTTATGGATGTAGGCGTTCCACGCTTGAAGTAGTGAGGGACCATCACGCTTGTGATTCCCACTGTACCATCGATGTCTAAAGAAAGCATCGATGAAGAACTCATGTTCAGCGCGATTTTTTTCGCGCTGGGGTCAAGGTGATGGATACTTGACGAATCGAACAACCGTGTTCGATAGCTATCACTCGTCGTCGCCGACAAGTGATCCATGACAGATTTAGGAGGCATCCATGCCTTCTTCTCAGGAGCGAGACGCAACACACTGCGGTCCCGCTCTTCCTGCGACGTGCCGACAGAAGGACTGGCACCTCGTTGTGAAGTGGTGTCCATAGGAGAACCGACACCACTATTAGCGCCCGAGTCTCGCGACCTCGAGCGCCTTCGCTTCGGCGATGGTTCATCTGATTCATCAGATGAACCAAAGATGCTGCGACGCAAAGCATCGTCCATGCCACGCTTGGCAGGCGGCTTAGATTCAATCGCCGTCGATACGGTTCCGTCATCCGTATCAGGAGAGTACGAGACACCGATCTCGTACTCTGTGAAGACACGAGTGTCTTCATGACCAGCGCCTGCATCACCAAGTGACACAGGCTGAGTCGCTTCAGCAACCGATGAGACATCAGTTGCTGTGGTTTCTGCTTCGGCGTCCGCACAGAGACGTGCGGACGCGCTCTCGGCGGCCTTGCTCGTGCATTGCATGGGCTTGTTAACCATGCGATGAGATGTTGGAAAGTGGACTCGGACCAACAAGTGCAAACCCCGTCCCAAATGATTTGGGACGAGTATCCATTTAGTCAATCAGTCACTCAAGTGACTAATGGTTAAGGGGGGGTTGATGTAACGGGGTGAATCGTTACATAACAATTTATAAGAAATTGTTGGTAGAATATAACTATAAGAGTTATATTCTCAGAATATTGTCATAAGGACAAATATTCTGCAGCACTTACGAGTAGTTCCTAATTGGTTGATATAGGCCATTATATCAACCAACGAAGACGCGCCATGACAGACGCACGCAATGAGTGGTGAGCAGATAGCTGATGTACACATTTGTATTTAGACATAGTTAGATGAGGATAAATAGTGATTTATTAACAGACACTAACTATGATAAATACAGTTCTACTTTTTACTTTAACCAAGTACTCGCTTCTTCTTACCGTCTTCCTCTGCACGTACGAGTGTACGTGAAGTTACGAGGCACCGCCTTATTCTGTCATCAGAATAAGTAGCTTGTACTGTCACCAGTACAAGCTTCAGGGTGCCCCGTTACAATTGGAGTTTGGGACAGGAAGTAAGGGATGTTTTAGGATTTCAGCAGCGGAATGCCCTGACATCTTCATTTGGGAATTGCACAGGAACTAGTGTAAGTGAATTGGGTATTTGGGATCTTCACCTGGCTGAAAAAGGCGTATTTCCGAGCTCTTCTGATAACAAATCAGAATTAACCAGCCGAATAAAAATGAGTTCAGCCGTTTAGCATTTGCCTAAGGATTTTTTGCGTTTTGTGTTGAAAAATGAAATTGCAAATAAACTGCCGTTTCTTTACAGTACTCAGTGATGTTCTGGATGTTGTAAGAGGGGCGAATAATAGACAAGGGAGACGAAGAAAAATCCTAATTGTAACAAGGCACCCTTAGGTGAAGTTTTTTACTATGCTAGGTTAGGTAAAAAAATGGGAAAAGCCTCATAAAGAAAAAGATAGGGTAGAATTAGGTCGACCAACAGGAGGAAGCAATAAGGAGTGGACGAGAGGCGCAGGGTCGAGCGAATGACATCCAACCAGTCTTGACAGCGAAGACCAGCGAAACGTGGAGCAGACCGGCAGTCGACAGAAAAATCGATGGACGAGAGGAGCATCCCAGAGTCATGGCCACCCGCAGACGACAAGGTGCCGCCGATGCCGGTTCGGACGGCTTTCGCGAGCGGCGTGAGTTCAGCGCAGCCGTGCACGCCCGCTCGTGCCTGTTATGGACAAGGCGCCGAAATTACGGGCGGTTACGACGAGACCGCGAGGGGTACCCGGACAGCCGCGGCCTTGAAAAACGATCTGGTAATAAGAAGCGGGCGAAGAAAGCCAAGGGCCGCCTCGGTATCCAGCGAAAGAGCAGGAAAAAGAATCCCCTGAAGAAGTCAAAACTGAGCGGCTGCAGCATCATCTCTGCATTCACAGAAGAAACGCCACCCATCGGACATCGGCGGCCATTAAGAAACCAAAGAGAGGAAAGGAGCCGAGCCCGACGACGGCTTCCAGTGGAGCGACGTGAGTGGAGAAGAAGAATGAGAGCTTGGCGAAGTGATCGAACTGACTTAAAGCACGGAGGAGGACGAATTAGCGATGTCCTGTTCCAGGATTTGGCTGATCGACAACGTGCCCCAAGGACAGCCAGTCCCGTGGCCCACGGACGTGGTGGAATTATATAAAATGCTGAATCGTGAAAATAAATCTTTCTTGAACGAGAGGTTCCGGGAGAAGGAATGTGGATGCGTCGGATCCTGCGAGCTCACTGGATGCGCGAATGCCGTTGAAACTCAAGTATGTGAGGGAGGCACGTGTTCCGTGGGAGCAAAAAAGTATCGAAACCAGTTCCAGACCTGCCGCCTGCAGATCAAGGTCACGCGTCAAGGGATAGGCTTGTTCACGGCTAGGCTAATCGAACCAGGAACCGTGGTCTGCCCATACTGGGGGACCTACAAATTCGCCGCGCAGCCCGACGCCGCATACACCATCCAGTTGAACGTGCGAGACGCAGTGGGACGGCAGGTGATTGTGAGATCCGAGAGCGGGGACTCGAAAGTGCGGTTCGTCGCTCATGCCTGCAACCCAAACGCGGATTACGTTGAGGTTCGAGGGCTCCGTAGGGTAATCGTCTCGCTCGTGCCCCAAAGGGCAATAAAAACAGACGAGAAAATAACCGCGGACTACACCGGGCGCACTGGGGACCCGTTGTGGTGTTGTTGCCAGTTCCCGCTCCATAAGGACGAGCATCCGCCGCGATGCAGCTGATCGGGATCAAGCAAGAGGCGAGTGGAACCGAAGAAGCGCAGAGTAGCCTAAAAGTTGGTTATCTAAAGAAATCTGCCTGCGAGAGTCGAGACATAAGAAGAAAACGTAGGGGAGGGCCAAGTGGGGCCACCACAATAAACTCCCAAATAAGAAATTGTCGAGAATCACACGGTCTGTGAGAAACATAGATGAACACCGCCAATATAGCCGGGTTAAGAGTAATGCTTGCATGCCACACCGAACGTCGCGAAGTCTCCAATCAAGCCGGTAGGTCCGCAAACACAGAGCTAGACGGATGCAGTCGGGTCGGGATCCCCGGATTAGAAAACCCGAGACAGAAATGCTGGCGGAATTCAGCCACCCCACTTGGCAGGTGGTGACCGTTGTGATGTAAATCCGGGACGTAGGTAACGGGGTACTCTTTGTTTGGGGTGCAGCGAAACTTCACGTACACTAGTACGTGCAGATGAAGCTCATTTACTCAAGCAGCTATTTTAATAAAGGTTAAAAAGAGAACAGTATTTAATATAGTTAAGCTAATCAATACAACTTCAGTTTTTATCTAATCATATTAATCTATATTGTCGTATGACAACAACCTGATCACCACTGATTACGCGCGTCTAGCGGCGATTGGTAGCGATCTTGATTGATGTGTCTTTTGTCAACCAGTCTATGAGCAGCACATGAATATCATCCTAAGAGGATAATGTTCCTCCAGTATATCCGACTTGGAAAATATATGCAGGGAATTGGCACGCTAGACAATATTCCTATTGACAACGTTTATTGTCAGTATCATGTGGCGGGCTACACCTTTACATCATCACCCCCATTAACCATCAATCACCCGTTAGTTAAATCTAAATAACTTGGACAGGGTGACCACCGTTGGATCACTCTTGGAAGGAGAGCACTTGTTGGTCAAATTCCAACTCACATTTCAATCCATCACATGGTGTCAAAGTCCATTCGATGTGCTTCCGAAGCAGCAAGAAATGCGTTTGCGCGCATGCGTGCAGTCGAAGAGAGTTCTTCGTTTGCTCTAGCGGCAGGCAATCCTTTCCCTGCTGTTGCGATTCGGCAACAGGTGGTGCCTCTTGTGAATAGTCCACGTGGTAAGTCACCAAGTGTGATAGATACATCCGCTGCGTCTGCAGCGGGTACTGCGACTCGCAATGTAGATGAGCCTAGAATTGAAATCATCTATTCTGGCGAGTCGGATAATTCATCCGGCTCGAAGGCGACACCTTACGCTTCCGAATCATCTGGGGCGGAAACTGCAAGAGCCAGGTTGACTGGCTCCGGGGAACGTGGCGGCATCATGCCCGAGATCTTACGACCGAGCGATTCGTCTTAAGAATCTTTGTCTCACGCACGTTCATACGACAGTAGGACGCGTGGTGATGGTGGTGATGCTTCTATGCATCACTACGGAAGAAGCAACTCTAGAGATCGAGCTGCCACTGGTGTCAGTGCTCCTGCTGACACCACTCAAATGTCCAGGGACCGATATGTCTTGCGCCACACTCCTAAAGTGGGGTCTCCTTGAAACCCATCATCCAAGGAGCTAGATCGAGTGGTCGGTATGACCGCCAAACGGAATCAAATTCCTTTTTTTGATTGTAGGAAGATCTGTCCTCCAAATTCCAGCACTGAAACCTTCCGTGCTGAGGAAGAGTTCTTCAATGATGCGTTCTTCAAACATTGGTGGTGCAATGGTTGCCGTGTACGAGACGGTAAGGCCTTGGTGCAAGGATGGAATGCCCTCATCCATTGCATCGAGTGTATTGGCCGTGGGGCCTGGATCGGTAAACTTGATGCAGCTCGCATCTGGTTTGAGAAACGTAGCCCAGTCGGGGCGCGATACAAGTTGCACCGGCTTTCAAGAGAGGCAGGATTACCCTGTCTCTCGTGGGGTGATTCGTGTCCAGGTTGCCTGGACAGTTCGAACCGTGCCCCTAGGGAGGCTTACCTCCCCAATGATCCCTACTGAAGGGCGCGCATCTTTTCCGAGATGGTAGAAGGGATCGACACGTTGCAATCCCTGTACTCGCGTTCGGGGAGGTCGTTTTCCGACGGCTTTTCTTCAAACGCAGCGGGTGGGTTTCGTCGTACTGCTCGACGAGACCCATAACATCAACGATCAGCTGGGTACGAGGCTCTCAGCTGTCCCACGCCGGTAAATAGCCACGCCAGTGGACGAGTTAACTCGTCCGGACGCCATTCACGTCGCGGTGGTCCCAAGTACGCTCCACTAGGAAGCGTTGATCACCGCTTGAGTCCACCAAAAGATGTGGTGGCGGTGGGAACACCTGATCCGGCTCGAGGGTCGGATCAAGTTGATGTTCAAGAGCTGAACCGTCTAACGAAACAATTGCAAGATGACCCGGCTCATGAACGATCTCGGCGTTATGGGCTTCAGGATCTGGTAAGGGATAACTACAATTCCCTACCGCACGATCTTTCGGATGATCGTGCCGCTTTTGCGCTCGCGCAACTTGAGAACGAACGTTCGACTCGTTTTTTTCGTAGTGAGCTGGCTGTAGCTCGTCGAGACATCGCTGAACTGCGTGAACAGGTCGCTTCGCTAGTTGACCAAACTGGTTTGTTTAAACGGGACCACTCGAAGGTGGTCTCGACTCTCAACCGTGGAGGTGTTCTTTGCACATCGAAACGGCCTCGTAATGATAATTCGAGCGAAGACGACCAACGTAAAACGTAGGATGCATGCGCATCTTACGGGGCAGTTCAATCGTGTATGCGTTGCCCATTCGGCGCAACATTCGAAATGGACCGATGTTCCTGGGTAGTAATTTACTGCTGCCCACGTTTTTCACTGCGTGCATTGCTAAGTTTACTGTAGAAAGTAAAAATAGGCCTCCTTCATCAAATGAAAGAACATGTGCTCTTCCATATTTGTCTGTGTTTCTTTTCTGTCTGTCTAGTGCATCTGCAATAGAGTCTTGAACGAAGCGGACAACCGCTTCGCGAGTCAGCAGAATTTCCTCTGCTGACTCATCCTTGTTAACAGCAGTGCGCTTCGTGTGCACTGCTGAAAGAACCTTGTCTCTACCAGTTAGGGTGTCATCGTCCTCACTGTGGCAGTCATTGGCGATGCTGAATATACCAGCATCGTCGTCATCATCATAGATATCAATCGCATCGACATCGGCATCCACCACGTTGACATCATTGTCGACGTGTGCTGAGCAAACCCAGATCGGGTCTTTTTACGAGCGAGTCCACCCCCCTTAAACTAAAGTCACACTCTAAGAAGGCGGGTAAACGTGGATGGCGTAGGCCATTCACGAAGAACGGTGTATGCGTTGTCGACGCATGCACCGATTTGCTGAGGGCGAATTCCGCCATCGGCAAGAGCTCACTCCAACTCGCAAACAAGGTGACATACCCTCGAAGTTTCTCTCTTTGAGGACGCGCTTGACGCGTTACGTCTGACCATTGGTTTCTGGATGGTCGGAAGTTGACATCTTTAAACATGTTCCAAGTTAACGGAAGACGGATTGCCAGAACTCCGCTGTAAAGCGGGGGTCCCTATCGGACACGAGTTCAAGGGATAATCCTGATAGTCGGAAGATAGTATCGATGAAGACACGAGCAAATACCTGAGCTGTGATTGACTCCGGTACCGCAACAAGATGTACCATCTTGCTGAACCGATCAACAATCACAAGAATACCAGTATGAAGTCTTGTGAACGTCTTTGGAAAACCTGAAGACGAAGTCCATCTATACGGACTGCCAGCAATCTACCGGAATCGGTAGAGGCTGCAAGGGTGCACGAGATGACAAGGCTTGACCAGTTGGCCTACTTTGCAAGCGCGAATGAATTCGCCCACAAATTCATACTGGCAGAAGACCAGTAGAAGTCACGACTTACTGTTAGGTCAGTCGTTTCCCTACCGCGATGCCGACTTGTTGGGGCATCGTGACACTCATACAGGATGCGCAATCGCAAATCATCATGAACCGGAACGAAGACACGAGGTGGGTCTGTTGAAACAGTGCTACTAATGATGTGACAGGGCGCTACTGTTGATGGGACAGGACATAAGTGATGGTGAAACGACGCAACCATTGAGATGGGCAAGGCGATTTGGAGAAACCTACGCAGGAGAGTTTGAAGGTAACGGATATTAAAGGTAACAGACAGTAAAGGTAACGGACAGCATAGGTAACCAAATACATAAGCTCAAATACATTTAGTTCTCAATTTACTTCCTATCTCTTAGCCCGCTCCAACAGGTTATGAGCCCAAGCGCGAACAACTCACCTCTTCGTCAGCACGCCTAGGCACGCTTTGCCGCAGAAACGGATCCAACCACTCTCAACGTGGTCACTGACCCTTTCGTGCTGCGCGAAGAGACGCCATCATCCCCGGGCACTCCCGAGGCTAAATGTAGCGCGAGGTGTGTCGCGTGTGACGCGAGCTCTGGTCGAATGGATAGACTTGAGGGACTCCTCGCAGGGATGGCGCAGCAGCAAGCCCAGTTTAGAAAAATCAGCTGAAGATGCAAGATCAGATGAGCCGAAACGCTCGAGTTGCGCCGACGACACCCTACGAGCAACCATTCAACGGATCAGCGCGTTTACCGAATTTATTCAAGCGCGTGACCGTCGAATGAGGATGGGCTCACTCGATGAGCCGATGCATCAAGCACGCATGCGACCGCCTCACAAGCCGCCGCAACGAATGCGCGTCCCACCGAATCAGCCGCCTCAGCAAGACTAGCGGTTTCGGTCATCTGAACCGTCGCACCCTTTCGTGACACCAAATGATTATGGGTTGAAGATACCTAAACCCAGAGACATGGAATGGCATGGATTTGCTAAGTTCACGGGTAAAGAGACAAGTCCAGGTGTGGGAGCCGACTTTAAAGCATGGAGAATACGCTTTCTGCAACGGCTTGGCGCAGCACAGATGATGAGCAGGGGTGATTGGCCAGAAGAGTTCAAGATTCTTGCATTGAGCGGTAAGCTGAAAGGTTCAGCTCTCAGCTACTACGAGAAGATGCTACCGGTATGGTGTGCTGTGTCGAACACACTAGAGCACTTCATGATAAGCGGCCTGGAGCTGTACATGACTCCGATATCATCTTCGAAAGGCATTGATCTTATGGAGAGAGAAAAAGAGCACAGCAAGACATGGGCTGAGCATTACCAGTACTTGTTGTACGGGCGGAGCGATCTGGCAACTTGGAGCAGAGTGTTTTAGAATGTCTTTGCAAGTCAGCGCCTGGACACATTAAGACTGCAACGCTGACAAGGCTGAATGCGCAGAGAACGGACTATTTAGTGCAAGCCGCTGAGCTTGTTGCACATGCGATAGACTTCGACATCAGCATGGGGAAGACGAGGGTCGAAGGAGGAAGCAGCCGAGCGGGATGAACAATTCGCGAGCAAGCAGTTCAATACCCTAACAGTGCTTGAAGAGATCAAGTCGGGCGTGGAGGAAGATATGTAGCAAGAGTCGCAAGTACCGACACACGTATATGTTACGGATGCGGTGAGACTGGTCACATCAAATCCAAGTGCCCCAAGCAACGAAGTGGTGAAAAGGCGACTTCAAATTGAGTCGCGTTAGCTATTGGTACTGGAACAAAAGCTGACTCTGACTCGTGGATATTGGACAGCGGGTCGAGCGTGCACCTTGAAAAAATGTGAAAATGCTCAAGAATGCAATTGATTGTGATCAATCGTGCCGCGCGGCGAACAACACAATAATTCGAGTGACTAAGAAGGGAACAGCTGAGCTGAGGATGGCTGTCAATGGCAAGGAGGTTATAGTTGACCTAAGCGAGGTTTATTATGCTGAGAACCTCGCTGATAATATCATTAGCTATGGTATATTAGAAGAGCGTGGTGTTTTTCTCGAGCGAGACGGCAATCAGAGCTATATGGTACGTCAAGAGGATGGCCTGAAGATATTCGAGTTGTTCCGCCGCAATCACGTGTTAACAGTCGACGTAATGGGTGAGAAAACGAAGGAAGCGCGAGTTCCAGTTGTCAACTCAGCCTTGCTACAGGGTTACGATGGAAGTGATGAAGCTGTATTGAGTACAACTCTTGTGGAGTTGCATCAGAGACTTGGTCATCTTGGATACAATTCTGTAGAGCGCATGGCCGACTCTATAGGATCGGGCATTTACCTAACGGACCGAGCCAGGCCAAATTTTCTTACTTGTGAAGAAGGCAAGAAGAGCAAAAACAACCAGTCCAAGAAGAATACAGGCAAGAACGCGCCTATTGACAAGCTTGGTGGTGTGATCGGCAGTGATATCAAGGTAATAATGACACCCCTAGATCGACGTGGTAATCGTTACCTAATTAACTTAGTCGACTACAAATTATGTCCGCGTTTTCCTGGCCAAGGACAAGATTGAGGCGACAAAGAACTTCAAACATTTTCTGCTTTATTTCGAGAAGAGATTTAATTGTCGAGTTCATGTACTGCGAGCGGACGGTGGCAAGGAGTATGTCAATGTCGACATGTTCTGCAAGTCAGCTTGTGTAAGGCGCCAAGTGAGTGAGGCTTCACATTAGGCATCGAACGGAAATGCTGAAAGGATGCACAGGACGATACTCAACATGGCAAGATGCATGCTATTTGCGAGCGGGCTCCTTTTATTCTTTTGGGGGGATGCCGTTGAGTACGCTGCGTGTGTTTTAAATCGAAGCTCGTGTAGCGCTAACCCCAAGCGCCTATCGCCGCTAGAAATGTTGACTGGAACAATTCCGAATATGGCGGACATTGTAACAGTTGGGAGCTCTTGCTCAACGTTCAGGGATCCTGGGAAGAAAGCATGGAAATCACGATCTCAAGTTGGAATGATTATTGGCAAGAATGATGAAACTTAGGGATTTTGAGTCTACCTGCCGAAGGAGAAAATCGGATCACTACTCAGCATATTCGTAACGTCGAAACGCTCAAAAGCGCACAGAACGCTCAGCTACAAAAATGGATTGAACAAGAATATTTAATGCCGTGGCGCGCCGAGATGGATCGTGACGAAAACCCGAAACGGAAGAAGCCTGCAAATTAAAAGAAGAGTGATTTGAAGGCAGACGAAAATTTGGTGTCATGTAACAACTCTATCCCGAATGAAATAGATGTAGGTGAGGTCGAGCAGTTACTAGAGGATGGACGGACGCAAGCTAGGATGCAGACACGCAACATGGATTCAAAGCACGTGCCGGTCTATAGTGTAAGAGCTATAACGATTAAAGATCCCAAGAACTATCACGAGGAGACGAAGGACCCTCGAGCCAAGTATTGGAAGGAGGTAATGCGCACAGAGATTGACGCATTGGAGCAGAATTATTCGTGGGAAGTGATACGAAAGCCACGTGAAGCAAAGCTACTTCATAGTAAGTGGGTTTACAAGCTCAAGATGCACGCTGACGGCACGATCGAAAGATACAAGGCGAGGTTGGTGGCTCGAGGAGATGAACGAGTTTATGGTATCGATTATACCTACACTTTCTCGACCATTTTGGAAATAGTTTCTGGCAAATTGATTCTTGCCGTTTCAAGAATTTGGGGAGTACCTGCGCAACACGGCGATGTGCCGAGTGCTTATGTCAAAGCCGAAAAAGATGAAGGCTTGGAGATTCTTCTCCATATTCTGAAAGGTACGGATATTGAGGCCAAGTTGTTGGACAAGTTCGGAGTGCAGGATAAGGGAAATCTTGCACTGACGCTAAAAAGGGTCTGTATGGACTTAAACAGTCTGGAAGATTGTGGAACCTGATGTCCCTCGGTTTCTGTCAGTACTATACGGACAGTTGTCTATACATTTAAGATGATAGTGAAGGCAAAACGCTCGTTGGAATCTACGTGGATGATGTGCTGGCGACCGCAACCAGTTCCCAAAAGGTCAAAGATTTCTTTCATGATATGCAAGTGGTTGAGCTTAAAAACCTTGGGGTGGTGTCCAAATTCCTTGGTAGATTGTTTCGTTAGGATGACGATAATGGGTGGAAACTGAAACAAGAACCTGTTATTGATGAGATGCTCGAGAGGTTCGGATTCGTCGAGTCGGCAGCGGTCAGGGTTCCAATCGGCGGAAACGAAGAAGGTGCGCTGCTACCTTCTGATGGAAAAAGTTCACCGAAAAGACCAACTGTGCAGACTTTCCAGTCGCTTGCCGGTAGTCTGTTATGGATATATCGATGTACACGCCCCGAAATAGCGCTTGCGGTGCACCGAGTGATACGTCGCTCGCACGCACCGAGTGAAGGCGATTGGCGTCCAGCAAAGAAGATCGCAAAATATCTTATGGGCACCAAGAAATTGGATTTCATAATGAAGGGAGACAAGGACTTAATGAAAGATGACGGCGTGGTAGTCGAGGCATTCGGCGATGCCGACTACGCTGCAGACAAGAGGGACCGGAAGTCGGTTAGCGGTGTTGTGTTCATGGTGGGCGGCATGATTGTAGGCTGAATGTGCAAGAAACAGAAATGTGTAGCATTGTCAACGATGGAAGCCGAGTATGTGGCGGCTTCGCAAACATCAGTTGACATGATAGGCATCGTGGAATCGCTCAAGGAGATCGGCGTGCAGATGCAGTCATGTACGACTTTACACGTGGATAACCAAGCTGCCATCGCTCAAATAAAGGGCGAAGACACATCTGGGCGAGCTAAGCACATTGACGTGCGATACAGGTTTGTAAAAGATCTTGCAAAAAAGATTTGCTGACCGTGCAGTATTGCGAGTCCAAGAAAATGCGTGCGGACATCCTGACCAAGCCCTCACAGCATCCCCCCTTAGCGGGCTACGTGGACTGATGATGCTGGATAATCATGTCCACTCGGGAAAGAGTGTTGAAACAGTGCTACTAATGATGTGACAGGGCGCGACTGTTGATGGGACAGGACATAAGTGATGGTGAAACGACACAACCATTGAGATGGGCAAGGCGATTTGGAGAAACCTACGCAGGAGAGTCTGAAGGTAACGGACATTGAAGGTAACAGACAGTGAAGGTAACGGACAGCATATGTAACCAAATACATAAGCTCAAATACACTTAGTTCTCAATTTACTTCCTATCTCTAAGCCCGCTCCAGCAGTGTAGCCGTTGACTGCTGTATAGCACAGTAGTCCATCACGAACAGAATAATGTTTGTTTGAGTAGCGATATAACGACGACAAGCTTTTTAAAGCTTGACTGCATGGATTGGATACGTAATCTATCAACCGCAGAAGAGACTTAGCTCCTACGTATGCTTTCCGCACGTCGTCGAGCAGATTGACGACGGAACACTCACTGATAGCGTTGCAACAGTGGGATCACCTCTACTATTTGGCTAATCAGTCGGCTCGAAATCGGGCCGACGCGAAAGAGTATCAGTGACGACATTAGGTCGTCCTGGTTTCGACTCGACGGAAAAGTTATACTCCGCGAAGAAAGCCAGCCGCCTCGCTATTCTTTTCGAGAGGTGTGGACTGTGTACGGCCGTGCGTAACGACGCATGTTAAATCTAAACGATGAAGGGCCTATCTACTAAGAGATGTACCCGAAACTAAGTCAGTGCATATATCATGGCAAAGAGTTGCTTTTCATGCACCGGTTAATTACGCCCAGCTGCTACCATATAACGCGATAGATAACAGACGACGCGCTCAACGCCGTCTGAGTCGTACTGCATTAACGCGCAGCCGATTGCAAAATTTGCTGACATCACAGACCACATGAAATGGTCTATCCTGACCTGCAATCTCCAAGACAGGCGATTGCACCAAGCTTCTGTTGATGCCTTCAAAGGGGTGCTGACACTCAGTGCTCCATGACCAGCTCTCGTTTTCGTTAATAGATGAGAGAGATGTACAGTCATCTCGGCATAGTTACGCGAGTATTTGTGCAAATAAGCTTCCAAGCCAAGGAACTTTCGAAGTCCGTTGACGTCGACTGGCACAGGCCAGTCGCCAATCGCCTTGATCTTTTCCGGATCAGGGCGTACGCCGTTTTTACCCACGATGCAGCCAAGAAGTGGTATATCTTTCACTGCGAATATACACTTCTTGAGGTTTGCGAACAACTTATGCTCTCGCATTAAAGTAAGTACCTTCCGGACGTGGATTCTATGAGCCTCTACGTCCGTCTTTCCATCCATAGCCCGGCTCTAGATGAAGACATCATCGAAGTTACTCGGTGCGAAATCGCGCACCGATCGCAACAGATTCATTAAACATCTGTTGAACGTTGCAGGGCGTTCTTTATCCTCTATGGCATCACTAGCCACTCCCAGAGTATACCACTGGGGGTGCTCACTGCTGTGTACGGGATGTTCCGTTCACATGAGGGTCTGATAGAAATCATCCATCAGATTCATGGACGAAAAGATGGTACTTTTTGCCATACCATTAATGATGACGTCCTTCCTTGGTATAGGCGTCGGAGCCGGTACCGTTGCAGCGTTCAATTTGTTGAACGCATGCACAATTCGCCACCTCCTGTGGTCTTTAGCATACAGAAGGTCGGATAGCTGTGTGTGGATGTTGATCGACCTCACATGACCAGGTTCTAATCGATCGGCAAAGAATTTGTCAATCGCTGTGACATGTTTAAAAGGAAGTGGCCACTGCTTCACGACACTGTACTTCGAACCGGGTTTAGTTCGATCTCATGCCGAGTGCATTTGCCCTTAGGCAACTTTCATGACACGGAATCCGGGAAACATCCTTGAAGTCGACCAAAATCTATTTCAATGGATTTGTCTTCAAAGACTTCCAAGATTGAGACGTATATCGCTCAATACGGGTCTTCTCATCAAGGACGCTCTCGTCCATCGATGAGCTACTAAAAACACGTTCGTTCTCAGCAAACACTTGTGCTGAACGAATTTCGGCGACGTACTCGTTCTCCGTGACGAGTACGCAGATCTGCTTGATCTTGTCACTACGCAGATATCGCAAGAATCTTTAAGATTCTTGCGTTGGCGACTTGACTACCTCCTAAGCTGACTTCGTGGGTGTAATAAGATCAAGTGTATAAGCGCCTAAACTTAATCCGTCATTTTCCAATACATTCAGTGTCCCGTTTTTTACCAGGAAAACACATCCGCAGGTGGTTGGGAATCCACACCCTCACTTTAACTCTCTCGAGATTTTTGACTCTCAGGAACGCTGGTACTTTCTTCGAATATGTGATCTGACTGTGGGTGTACTACCACAGGCACGTCCTCTTTGATCTATTCTCTTTCAGTCGATCGTGTTTTCTTCGCGATCGACTCTCTGTTAGCTGATCGAGTTTGCTCTGAGATCGACTCTCTGTTAGTCCATCTTTCTGTAAAGTGTTGTTTACCCTGAACAATACTAATATCTCCTCTTGGATGCACCCTTTTTGTTTTGCATCCGTGTTTAAGTCCACTGATCTTTTCGAGTGGTGAACCTTCGACGCAGCTTGTATCTCTACACAGGTGCCGTAAGCTGGTTCCACAGTGTAGTGGCATTCTACACTGTGATCTTGTGCAATCGTACCAACTACCGTACTACAAGTGAGGCCATCTCACTCACATGTAGTACATCCACACGCTTGTGGACGCTCCAAGACGTTCATCAGATGGCCATCTGATGAACAAACGGCAGGCATGTTCACGAGTCGATGCTTCCAGATGATCCATGTCCAGTATATTCTAAGCCGTGGTAGGCCGAGGATGACATCAAATTATCATCCAGATTTAGTGCGATGAAGTAATCATCGTACTGCTTTCCTTTTACTGTGTAGTGGATTCCCAATACATTGTTTTCAGTGTTACAGAAGCGCCTGTTGCAAGGCACACAGTCATCTTGGTTGGAGGTATCACTTGCTCAACATCGTTTAGTCTACTATCCTCTAGCGACTGGCGTCAATAAAACTGGTCGACGCTCCACAGTCAACCAGGGTGCGAAGTGACATCCCACTTGTCACTTCAATCTTGAAAGTAATAAGATGCATCTCGTTACTAGGGGCAGTACCACAGCGACTGTGCAATGGGAACAATCTTTGTCAAGAGTCCTGCAAAATCTCTTGACGTTGCTGGGTCAGCAGGGTGCTCCGCCCCAACTGAATCTGACTTTTTTTTGGAGGTCCGACTTGCTGTCACGGTTTAGCGACATGGTCGGTTACACACCTTGGACCTTTCTTTGGCCAACGGCGGTCTCAAGTCATGCCTTTGGACGTGATGCGGTGCTTGGGACACTACACTCACGAGCATAGTGTCCAATTTTTTGACAGCGATGGCATCTTTCCGTTCGCTTGTGACTCAGAGAGCGAGCGTTCTCGCTCTCGATGTAACAGATGTCCATTGGTTCGAGACCTCCGTTTTCCTGTCGTAGCGTCGAACAGTAGTTTGATGAGTTAGCCTGATAGTGTCTCAGGCTTAAGTAGTCTTGTTCTGCATACGCTATCACCTTTTGCAGCGTATGGAAACCCTCTCGGAACATGTAGGTCTTCACCGGCCCATCCACAAGACCGTAGATGAACACGTTGATGAGCGTGTGCTCATCAGCAGAGTGTTCCGTGACGCTGATTGCGAGGTAGCGCAGGTGTTGTGCGTAAGCATGCACTTCGCGCTTTCCTTGCTTGAGTCTCAGGAGGCATAGCGTGCTCTGAACTCGGCTCTTGGCGGCTAAAATGCTTGTCTAAGCCGAGCCTTCAAGGTTTCTAACGACTCAAACACGTTTGGGTCGTGAAGCTTCAGCCCTAAGGCCCAAGTCTTTGCTCGTCCCATCAAATTTGACAGGGAGAAAGTGACTTGCATCTCGTCACCCTCGATGTGACGGGCCCTGATGGCGTCGTCTAACTCGACGAACCATCTCAAAAGGGAATCTTCATCGGTTCCCTTGTACCTTGAGATATCAATCTTCAAGGCTTCGGGTCGACGCATGTGCGTCGGTCCGCCCATCGACTGATGAGAGCCTTGCTGTTGTAGCAAGGCTATCTTCTGTCTTTCGACGGTAAGTTCCCCTTTGTAGAAATTTGTTGATAGCAGCATGTTGCTGGTCTCTGCTTAGAGACTCCAACATACCACTGAATGCGGTGTCGCCCATGATCACACTCATGCAACCGACTACCTCCCGTTTTATGCCACACATATGGGAGTAGCCTTCGCGTGTACGTGAAAGCTGTCGTCTTCTTCATTTAACGTGCTGATGTTGGACGGACACAAAGTAGTCGCTGGACGGACTACGAAGGTCTACCCGGTGTAATGGGACACCTTTTGTTCGGGGTGCCGCGAAACTTCACGTACACTAGCACGTGCAGAGGAAGCTAATCTACTAAACAACTAAGCTGAGTTAAGGGGTAAAATGATTATTGTATTTAATGTAGTTAAGCTATCTATATAACTTTAATCTTTATCGATCTACATTAACTTACGTCGTCGTATGACGACAACCTGCTCACCACTAGATACGCGCGTCTAGCATCGATTAGTGTATATCTTGGTTGATGTATC